TCAGGATGCACCTAGCCTGGCACAAACGGCGTTGTGACGCCGGCGGTTGTTTGTTGTGGTGGTGGTGACGGTGGTGGTGGTGGTGATGGTGGTGACGGTGGTAGTGGTGACGGTGGTGGTGACGGTGGTGACGGTGGTAGTGACGGTGGTGACGGTGGTGGTGGTGGTGACGGTGGTGGTGGTGATGGTGGTGGTGGTGGTGACGGTGGTGATGGTGGTGACGGTGGTGGTGGTGGTGACGGTGGTGGTGACGGTGGTGACGGTGGTGGTGACGGTGGTGGTGGTGGTGACGGTGATGGTGGTGGTGGTGGTGGTGACGGTGGTGGTGGTGGTGGTGACGGTGGTGACGGTGGTGACGGTGGTGGTGACGGTGGTGGTGGTGGTGGTGACGGTGGTGATGGTGGTGACGGTGGTGGTGGTGGTGACGGTGGTGACGGTGGTGACGGTGGTGGTGGTGGTGGTGACGGTGGTGGTGGTGGTGGTGACGGTGGTGACGGTGACGGTTGTGATGACGGTGGTGATGGTGGTGGTGACGGTGACGGTGGTGATGACGGTGGTGATGGTGGTGGTGGTGGTGGTGACGGTGGTGATGGTGGTGGTGACGGTGGTGACGGTGACGGTGGTGATGACGGTGGTGATGGTGGTGGTGGTGGTGACGGTGGTGACGGTGACGGTGGTGATGACGGTGGTGATGGTGGTGCGTGTCGCCAGTGGGGTTCCTGCTTGGACGCTTCTGTGGGCCGCGTTCCCCGGGCCCCGTGCACTCCGCCACGGGCACGCTTTCCCTGGTGCTACACACCGACACCGCGGTGGCTCGCGATGGATTCCTGGCACGCTATGGCGTGGCGCCGCGCCGGCCTGCCGACTGTGAGCCGCACCGTCGTCACGATTGGCGTCGTCACCGTCACCATCATCATCATCATGAACACCACCATCATCATGAACACCACCATGGCCACCGTCAGCATCGCTCTCATCATCGTCACACTTTCCATCATCACCATCGTCATCATCATCAGCACTCTCAGCATCATCATCATCATCACCGTCGTCGTCATCGTCGTCGTCACTGTCACCACCACCAACACCACCACGGTCATCATCACTCGCACTTATCCTCACCTTGCTCCACTCACCCCTGCACACCCACGATCACCTTCCTCTCATTTCCATGTCTATACCCCCCCCCCCCACTCATCTCCCGCCCCCCTCCCCCCCACTCATCTCTCGCCCCCTTCCCCCCCACTCATCTCCCACCCCCCTCCCCCCCACTCATCTCCCGCCCCCCCCCCCCCCCACTCATCTCCCGCCCCCCTCCCCACCGCGCAGCCTCCCAGTGCGGCCGTGCGCTGGGCGTGGAGAGCGGTGCGGTGCGTCCCGGCCGCCTCTCGGCGTCGTCCCAGTACCGGACGGGCCTCTGGGGGCCCGAGCGTGCCCGGCTCAACCACCCACTCAACGCATGGACGCCGCTCACAGACTCCAGCAAGGAGTGGCTGCAGGTGAGGAGCCGTCGGAGGCCTCTCTCGACCCCACCCCGTGACCTCTCTCGACCCCACACCGTGACCTCTCTCGACCCCACAGCGACCTCTCGACCCCACAGCGACCTCTCGACCCCACACCGTGACCTCTCTCGACCCCACACCGTGACCTCTCTCGACCCCACACCGTGACCTCTCTCGACCCCACCCCGTGACCTCTCTCGACCCCACAGCGTGACCTCTCTCGACCCCACACCGTGACCTCTCTCGACCCCACACCGTGACCTCTCTCGACCCCACACCGTGACCTCTCTCGACCCCACACCGTGACCTCTCTCGACCCCACACCGTGACCTCTCTCGACCCCACACCGTGACCTCTCGACCCCACCATGACCTCTCTCGACCCCACACCATGACCTCTCGACCCCACCGCGACCTCTCTCGACCCCACCGTGACCTCTCTCGACCCACACAGCGACCTCTCTCGACCCCGCACCGTGACCTCTCTCGACCCCACACCGTGACCTCTCTCGACCCCACAGCGACCTCTCTCGACCCCACAGCGACCTCTCTCGACCCACACAGCGACCTCTCTCGACCCGCACCGTGACCTTTCGACCCCACAGCGACCTCTCTCGGCCCCACCGCGACCTCTCTCGACCCCGCACCGTGACCTCTCTCGATTCTTCCCCCCCCCCAACCCGGTTTGCCCCCCCCCTCTCCCCCCCCCCCCTCTCCCCCCGCCCCCTCCCCCTCCCCCCCCCCCCCCCAGGTGGACCTGGGCTTCCCGAAGCTGGTGACGGGCATCGCGACGCAGGGCGCCGTCTCCCAGGAGACCCACAAGAGCTACTACGTCACCGAGTTCCGCCTCGAGTACAGCTCCTCGGGCGACGAGTGGGTGCTGTACCGTGAGGGGCGTAGCCCGCGGGTGGGTACCACAGAGGCCAAGCCCCCCCCCCCCCCCCCCGGGTAGCCATGGTGACGGTGGTGGTGACGGTGGTGGTGACGGTGGTGGTGACGGTGGTGGTGACGGTGGCGAGCGGGCGGTGCACTCGAAGGCGCCGCCAGGCGAAGACAAGCACCCCCCGTGTAGCCTCGTGCTGCACGGGGTGACGTAGGTGCAGTCCAGGTAGTGGGGGTATTTGTCCGGATACACAGGCGACTGGATGACCCCGGTCGGCCCCGTCAGGTTCTCTGCGGTCACTCGTCCGAGCCTGGCTGTTAGCGAGCAGCACCTATGAAGGCTGGCACGGCAACACGAGGGGGTGGGTGGCCAGCACCACGGCAGCGATGTTTACACACCGCGCCAGGTACTCACTCGAGGCTGAGTCGACCTAGGGGAAGCCCAGGACCGGCTCAGATGATCGTCACCGGTGTTGGCTGTGAGCGGCAATAGAACTCGAGTCGCCAGGTTCGTAGCGCAGCGTAGCGCTAACCGCTGCACCACCTTCTACACTACCGCTTGCCGGAGTTTGATTTTTGTCGGAGACGGAGACAGTGAGTGAATTGCGATTCGTTAGCGGTGGGGAGTGCTGGTTGTAGTGGTGGTGGTTGTGGTGGTGGTGGTGATGTTGTTGGTGGTGATCGTTGTGGTCGTGGTTGTGGCGGTTGCGGCAGTTGTGGTGGTCAGCGTGTTGTACGTACGTTGAACTTCGTTCGCACCGTACGTAGCCAACCGTGCTAATCGGAGGTGTGTGGGCATCCGTGTGCGTCTGTGTGCATCTGTGTGCGTGTGTCTGCGTGCGTGTCTGCATGCGTCTGTGTGCGTCTGTGTGCATCTGTGTGCGTCTGCGAGCGTCTGCGTGCTTGTGTATGTGCGTGCACGTGCGTGCGTCTGCGTCCGTGCATGCATCTGTGTGCGTCTGTGTATGTGTGCGTCTGTGTGTGTCTGTGTGTGTGCATGTGTCTGTGTGTGTCTGTGTGCGTGCACGTGCGTGCGTCTGCGTCCGTGCATGCATCTGTGTGCGTCTGTGTATGTGTGCGTCTGTGTGTGTCTGTGTGTGTGCATGTGTCTGTGTGTGTCTGTGTGCGTGCACGTGCGTGCGTCTGCGTGCGTGCGTGCATGCATCTGTGTTCGTCTGTGTATGTGTGCGTCTGTGCGTGCGTGCGTGCGTGCGGCGCAGGATTTCGAGGGGAACGAGGACGGGAGCACGGTGGTGCGGAACTCGCTGGCGGAGCCGTTTGTGGCTCGCCACGTGCGCCTGCGGCCCACACGCTGGCGCGAGGGCATCGCGCTGCGACTCGAACTCTACGGCTGCCAGATCATGGGTGAGACGCCACGGCGGTGGCCACGGCTCGTGGCGGGAGTGGTGCCCGGCTCGCAAACACGGAGAGATCCGGGCGATGATTCAACCTTGGCCTCTCCCGACCCACGCCACGACCTGCTCAGCCCTCACCACGACCTCTCCCGACCCCCACACTACCTCTCCACGACCTCACCACGACCTCACCACGACCTCACCACGACCTCACCACGACCTCACCACGACCTCTGCCGACCCTCACCACAACCTCTCCACGACCTCACCACGACCTCACCACGACCTCACCACGACCTCACCACGACCTCTCCACGACCTCTCCCGACCCTCACCACGACCTCTCCACGACCTCACCACGACCTCACCACGACCTCTCCACGACCTCTCCCGACCCTCACCACGACCTCTCCACGACCCTCACCACGACCTCTCCACGACCTCTCCCGACCCTCACCATGACCTCACAACGACCTCACCACGACCTCTCCCGACCCTTACCACGACCTCTTTGCTTCCACAACTTAACTTGGTCCCACTCCCTCTACCCCACACCACCCCTACCCTGCCCCCCCCCGACCTCCCCCGTCTCCCACGGCCCCCCCCCCCCCCCCAGACTTCCCGTGCTCGGAGCTGCTGGGCATGGTGTCGGGCAGGATCGAGGATCGCCAGGTGGCCGTGTCGTCTTCGCGCGACTTCCAGTGGGCGGCCGGCAGCGCGCGGCTGCTGGGATCGCGCTTCGGCTGGGCACCGGCGCTGTCACAGCCATCCGAGTGGCTCCAGGTGCCGTCTCCCGTCGGGGGACACGCGGAGACACGTGGGGGGACACGGGGGGACACGTGGGGGGACACGGGGGGACACGTGGGGGGACGCGGGGGGGGACGTGTGGGGACCCGGGGGGGGACACACGGGGGGACGTGGGGGGGGACGTGGGGGGACACGTGGGGGGACGTGTGAGGACACGTGGGGGGACACACGGGGGGCTGCGGGGGGACACGTGGGGGGACGTGTGGGGACATGTGGGGGGACACACGCGGGGACAGGAGACACAGAGAAGGGAGGAAGAGAACGTAGTTGCCCAGTGGAGTCCAAACTCTCCCAGTGACTGCTGTCACCAACGGGAACAAAGGGACACGGGGACACGGAGACATGGAGGACACGGGGACATGGAGGACGCGGGGACATGGAGACATGGAGGACACGGGGACATGGAGGACACGGGGACACGGGGACATGGAGGACGCGGGGACATGGAGGACATGGGGACACGGAGACACGGGGACATGGAGGACACGGGGACATGGAGGACACGGGGACACGGAGACACGGGGACATGGAGGACACGGGGACATGGAGACATGCCCTGTCTAAAGACGAACTCGCATTTTGCGAAGGGGAATGTTGTTGTGTTTATTGCGAGGATCATCGGTGAATTGCCCTGCCCGCTCTTGCGTTGGGTTTTTTGAGTTATAATCACAATGAGAGACATCTCTGAACAATCAATAGCCGTGAGATGAAGATTCTGATTGATGGAGGCTGCCGTATGTCAGGATGTGTGCACGTGTGTGAGTGTGGTGTTTGTGTATATTGTATACTTGGGGAGCTTTAGTGTAGTAGCGGTTAGCGCTACGCTGCGCTACGAACCCGGTCACCCGAGTTCGATTCCCGCTCATGGCCACCAACACCGGTGACGATTATCTGAACCGGTCCCGGGCCTCGCCTAGGTCGACTCAGCCTCAAATGAGTACCTGGTGCGGTGTGTAAACATCAACGGCTGGGGAGACAAAGGCGGCCGGGCTTCGCGCGGCTCCTTCGTAGGCGCCGCTCGCTTAACAGCACCAGCCCCGGCAGTCCGTGAAGTCTCGGCGGGGGGGGGTGGGGGGTCTTTGTGTTTGTGCAGGTTGACCTGGGGGTGCCGTGGATGGTCAGCGGGGTCCTTCTGCAGGGAGCCAAGGGGGGGCCCCTGTCCGACACCAAGTTCTTCATCCGCCGCTTCGGCCTCGCGCACAGCCTCGACGGCATCACGTGGCACTCCGTGCGCGACGCCAACAGCCAGCACCCCAAGGTGCGCCCGGCACGGTGGCGGCGCGTGGAGACGTGGGGATGCGGAGACACGGGGACACGGGGGGACACGGGGGGACACGGGGGGACACGGGGGGACACGCGCGAGTACACAGTGGCGGTGCGCCTCGTGAGTGTGCAGGCGGTGCAGCTGCACCGGGTACCATGAACTCAAGGGACATCTGTGAAAAAGAGCTTTGCAGCTCATCGGATTCCTCCAGCGGTGTAAATATTCTGATCGTGATTCAAGGGATCCAGGCGCCTGCCTATGAACTGGAGGGAGGAGGGGGGGGGTAAATTTGGATCCCAATTCATCCCTTAAATCCACCCCCACCCCATCTACCCACCACCACCCCCCTCCATGTCCCCATGTCCTCCGTGTCCTCCATGTCCCCGTGTCCTCCATGTTCGCCGTAGCACCGGTAGTGAGACGGCCGTCTCTGGTGGAGGACAATCAGTTCCAAAAGCACAGTGCCCTGCATTGTCACGAAGGAGCGTGTGCACGTCTTGCCACAAGCGTGGTGTGCGGGTGATGCACTGCCCGGTTTAGTGCCGGAATCGGGTGAAGCCGATTCCTTCCGTGTTGCAGCGTCTTGATGCCGGCAAGGAGCGAACCGAAGATGCTCGCCGTGGAGTTCACTCCCTGACTCGTGCGGCGTGTAAACAGACACCACAGCCACGTGGTGTCACAAGCAGTAAACAGACACCACAGCCACGTGGTGTCACAAGCAGTAAACAGACACCACGGCCACGTGGTGTCACAAGCAGTAACGGACACCACAGCCACGTGGTGTCACAAGCAGTAAACAGACACCACGGCCACGTGGTGTCACAAGCAGTAACGGACACCACAGTCACGTGGTGTCACAAGCAGTAACAGACACCACAGTCACGTGGTGTCACAAGCAGTAACGGACACCACAGTCACGTGGTGTCACAAGCAGTAACAGACACCACAGCCACGTGGTGTCACAAGCAGTAACAGACACCACAGCCACGTGGTGTCACAAGCAGTAACAGACACCACAGTCACGTGGTGTCACAAGCAGTAAACAGACACCACGGCCACGTGGTGTCACAAGCAGTAACGGACACCACAGTCACGTGGTGTCACAAGCAGTAACAGACACCACAGTCACGTGGTGTCACAAGCAGTAACGGACACCACAGTCACGTGGTGTCACAAGCAGTAACAGACACCACAGCCACGTGGTGTCACAAGCAGTAACAGACACCACAGCCACGTGGTGTCACAAGCAGTAACATTGAACTCCTCGTCCCTCCTCGTCTCCCTGGCCCTGCTCCTCCTCCCTCCCCCCCCCTCCCTCCCCCCTCCCTCCCCTCCCTCCCCCCCTCCCTCCCCTCCCTCCCTCCCCCCTCCCTCCCCCCTCCCCCCCCTACCGCGCAGTCGTTCATCGGCAACTTCCACACCGACAAGGTGGAGCTGCGGCGCTTCCCGGCGGTGTTGGCGCGCCTCCTGCGCGTGCTGCCTGAGAAGTGGGCACCCAGCGGCATCGGCCTGCGCCTCGAGCTCCTGGGCTGCACCCCGCCCACCGGTGAGCCCCTCCCCCCCACCCCACCGGTGAGCCCCTCCCCCCCACCCCACCGGTGAGCCCCTCCCCCCCACCCCACCGGTGAGCCCCTCCCCCCCACCCCACCGGTGAGCCCCTCCCCCCCACCCCACCGGTGAGCCCCTCCCCCCCACCCCACCGGTGAGCCCCTCCCCCCCACCCCACCGGTGAGCCCCTCCCCCCCACCCCACCGGTGAGCCCCTCCCCCCCCACCCCACCGGTGAGCCCCTCCCCCCCACCCCACCGGTGAGCCCCTCCCCCCCACCCCCACCGGCGAGCCCCTCCCCCCCACCCCACCGGCGAGCCCCTCCCCCCCCACCCCACCGGCGAGCCCCTCCCCCCCACCCCACCGGCGAGCCCCTCCCCCCCACCCCACCGGCGAGCCCCTCCCCCCCCACCCCACCGGTGAGCCCCTCCCCCCCACCCCACCGGTGAGCCCCTCCCCCCCACCCCACCGGTGAGCCCCTCCCCCCCACCCCCTCACCTCCCCCCCACCCGCTCACCTCCCCCAGCTATGAATCCGCGTCACCCCGCCGCCGATCACCGCTGCGAGTGATTTAGTCTTGAGAGTCATAATCGACGAGTCGCTTTGGAGTGCCTTTGGGGACAACTGCGAAGTCCCTCGGGGCATGTGGGGGTCCTGAGAACTGAAACGGGTCTCCCACCCCCCGCGTGTCCCCACAGAGGCCCCCGGCACGGGGCCCACGCCTGCACCCCCGGCGCCAGCGGCGGACGCAAGGGACCCTGGGTGTCTCGTCCCCGAGGGTGAGTGCACACAAAGACAAAGATCCCCCGCGTGGCCTTCGGCAGGGCGATGGGGCGAGTGCTGTCGGCGAGTAGCACCTACGAAGGCCGGCATGGCGCACGGAGCGGGGGGGAGGGGGGCGGTGTGGCGAGCACCGCGCCCGGCCGCCTTTGTCTCTCCCAGGACGAAGTGCTCATTTGAGGATAAGTCGACCTAGGGGGAGGACGGTTCAGACAATCGTCGCTGGTGTTGGTGGTGGCCGTGAGCGGGAATCAAACTCAGGTCCCCGGGTTCGGAGCGCAGCGCGCTCACCGCTACACTGACGCACACGTACACACACACACACGTACACACACACGTACACACACACGTACACACACACGTACACACACACGTACACACACACGTACACACACACGTACACACACACGTACACACACACACACGTACACACACACACACGTACACACACACACACGTACACACACACGTACACACACACGTACACACACACGTACGCACACACGTACGCACACACGTTTGCACACACACGTTTGCACACACGTACACACACACACGTACGCACACACGTACGCACACACGTACGCACACACGTACGCACACACGTACGCACACACGTACGCACACACGTACGCACACACACACGTACACACACACACGTACACACACACGTACACACACACACGTGCACACACACGTACACACACACACGTACACACACACGTACACACACACACGTACACGCACACACGTACACGCACACACGTACACACACACGTACACACACACGTACATATGCGCCCACACGGACACACATGTACACACAAACACGTGTGTGTTCCGGTTACTCCAGTTCGACCCCAGGTCGATTCCCGTTCACGTCCAACAACAGTGGTGAATATTTGACTTGGCCATGAGCCTCCTCTAGGTCGACTCGGCCATACATTTTGACCGGGTTGCATTGTGTAAACATCAGGCATCGGGGATACAAAGGCAGCAGGGTTTGATTCCTGTTGTGTTAGTACTTGCCCCAACAGTCTATGCAAGCTATATGGGGGATCTTTGTAATTGTTTATATATGTCATTGTTTATATTCGGATGTGTGTTCGTATGTATGTATGTGTGTGAGCTGACAGAACTTGCCCGAAAGGTCTGTTAAGGCTATAAGGGGGATCTTTGTCTTCGTTGGTGTATTATGGATTGTGTTTTGTATGAGCACCATCATTAACATCATCACCATCAGTACCTTCATCATCATCACTCAGTATTAGTAGCAGCATCCACAGAATCACCATCATCATTCACAGAATCATCATCATCATCATCAATTACAGAATCATCATCATCATCCACAGAATCAACATCATCATTCACATAATCATTATCATTATCCACAGAATCAACATCATCATTCACAGAACCATCATCATCATCCACAGAATCACCATCATCCACAGAATCAACATCATCATTCACAGAATCAACATCATTAACCACAGAATCAACATCATCAATCACAGAATCAACATCATCAATCACAGAATCATCATCATCATCATCCACAGAATCAACATAATCATTCACAGAAGCAGCTTCATCTGTATCTTCAACATGCGGTATCATCATCATCATGAATAGCATCATCAGCAGCAGCAGCGTCGGCATCATCGTGAAGACCAGCGTAATTAACATCATCGTCATCAGCAGCATCAATCATCGTCTGCGTGAGCATGAGCAGCAGTAGCATCATCAGCATCACCGTCATGCACAGAAGCAGCAGCATCAATCATCATCAGCAGCAGCAGCTGCAGCCAACAACTCCGTCCGGACCTATTCCTCTCGCCACGACCCCTGCCCCCCCCCCCACCTCTTGCCCCCCCCTCCCCCCCCACATGTAGATTGCTCATCTCTGATCCCTGCAGCTGTAGAGACTCCACAGCCACCACCAAAGACAAAGATCCCCCGTGTAGCCTGTAACAGATTGTAGGGGCAAGTGCTGTTAGCGAGCAGCACCTGTGAAGGCCGGCACGGCACACGAGAGGGTGGGTGGCCAGCACCACGCACGGCCGCCTTTGTCTCCCCAGTGGCGATGTTTACCACACACCGCACCAGGTACTCGTTTGAGGCTGAGTCGACCTAGGGGAGGCCCAGGAACGATTTAGATAATTGTCACTTCCCGTGAGCGGGAATTGAACCCGGGTCACCAGGTTCGTAGAGCAGCGTAGTGCTGACCGCCACCACCACCACCACCACTAAACCACTAAACCACCGCCACCACTAAACCACCGCCACCACTAAACCACCACCGCCACCACCACCACCGCCACCACCGCCGCCACCACCACCACCACCACCGCCACCACCACCACCACCACCGCCGCCGCCACCGCCACCACCACCACCGCCACCGCCACCACCACCACCACCACCGCCACCACCACCACCACCACGTCATTTATCGCCACGTGCTCACCACGGCCGATCCAGAAGCTTGGAATTTCCGGAGTGCCCCCCCGCCCCATTTCTACCTCCACCCCCCCACCACCCCCCCCCCCCCACTTCCTTGACACACCAAGGGGGTGTCACCTTACCACGCACAGATGGACAGCGGATGGACGGTGGTGGATGGATGATGGGGGGTTGGTGGCCGTGTGCTTTGAGAGAGGGGAAGATTGCGGTGGTGGTGGTGGTAGTCGTGGTGATAGTGGTGGTGGTGGTAGTCGTGGTGATAGTGGTGGTGGTGGTGTCGGTTGGTTGTGATGGCAGCGGTGGTAGTGATAAAGATTGTGGTGTTTGTGGCGATGGTGGTCTTGGTGAAGGTGGTCTTGGTGGTTGTGGCAGTAGTGATGCTGGTAGTGCTAATGATGATGCTGCTGGTAGTGATGATGATAATGCTGGTAGTGATGATGATGCTGGTAGTGATGATGATGATGCTAGTGATAATGCTGGTAGTGATGATAATGATGCTGCTGCTAGTGATGATGATGCTGGTAGTGATGATGATGATGCTAGTGATGATGCTGCTGCTAGTGATGATGATGCTGCTAGTGATGATGATGATGCTGGTAGTGCTGCTGCTGCTAGTGATGATGATGCTGCTAGTGATGATGATGCTAGTGATGACGATGCTGCTAGTGATGATGTTGCTGCTGCTAGTGATGATGCTGCTGGTGGTGATAATGCTGCTAGTGATGATGACGATGCTAATGATGATGCTGCTGCTAGTGATGATGACGATGCTGCTAGTGATGATGATGCTGGTAGTGATAATGATGCTGGTGCTGATCGTGTGTTTGCGGTGCTACATTTTGTGAAGGTGCTGCTGCTGCTGTTCATGCTGATGGTGCTGTTAATGGCGCTTCTGCTTCTGCTGCTGCTGCTGATGGCAATAATATTGTTAATAGATATGGCATCGCTGCTGATGATGTTACTGCCGCTGCTGACGACGATGTCAATCACCACCGCTGCGCATGGCCCTTGTGCGTGCTGCTTCGAGTAGTTATGGTGTCGTGCCACCAGGTGGACGAGAGGGGGTGGCGTAGGGGTGGTGGGTGGCAGCAATGGCAGGGAGAGCACGGTGGGGGGGGGTTAGGTGAGAGGGGTCGGCAAAACCTGCGGCATGGGGAGCGGGCTGCGGCCCTTTCAAGGACTGCGGCTTCGTGAGCCGCTATAATTCTTGCTCATCGAGGGCCGCCGCCGTCTTCGCGTTCACCACCGCTGTCCTCTTGGAATATATCACTGGGGGTTGGTTGTTGTTTTTTTTACCGAATTCGAAAAAAAGAAGAGAACGGCCCTTCGTTATTCTGGTAGCCAACCCCCTGGTGTAGGTGGTGGTGGGGGGGGGGGGGCAGGACGGGAATGTGTTGTGGAGGAACCGTGGACGGAACAGGAGGGAGGCTTGGGAGGGGGGGGGGGGTGGGCGACCCTCCAGGGGGTGAGAGAAGGTTGGGGGGAGTCAGATTTTTTGTGTGTGTTGAAGCCACCACCGGGGTTGTTCTCATTTAATTTCATCAAGGAACCTTTGACCCCCCCCCCCCGCCCGCCCCCAGCAGCCAGCACTGCCGCCCCCATCCATCGTACGCCGCCGCCACGCTCCCCCGCCGCACCGCCCTTTCCTTCCTCCCTCCGTCGCGCTCCCCGCTCGGGCACTCCGTTGCCCGCGTGTCGCCTCCCTCCCTCCCTCGCTCCGTCGCGCTCCCCTCCGTTCCCCGCCGATCGGCGCCGAAGGATTCTGGGATGGGAGCGGGGTCGGAGGTCGCGCTCAAAATCGGAACCGCAGAGTCCTTATTTTCGACCGCGGGAGGAATCCGATGAGCTGCGAAGCTCTTCTTCACCGATGTCCGGCAAGCGAAGAGTTCGATTCGCGCGCCGGGATTATTGACGCAATGAGCACGCAGACTGTAGGGGGCAAGTGCTGTTAGCGAGTCGCACCTACGAAGGCCGGCACGCCACACGAGGGGGTGGGTGGCCAGCACCACGCCCGGCCTCCTTTGTCTCCCCAGTGGCGATGTTTACACACTGCACCAGGTTACTCGTTTGAGGCTGAGTCGACCTAGAGGAGGCGCATAACCGGTTGAAATAATCGTCACCGGTGTTAGGGTGGCCGTGAGCGTGAATCAGACTCAGGTCGCCAGGTTCGTAGAACACCGTGATAAGCACTGCGCCACCACACACAGACAGACACAAACACAGGTACACAAACACGTACACACACACACACGTAACACACACACACACGTACACACACGTACACACACACACAAACACAGGTACACAAACACGTACACACACATACACATGCACACACACGTAACACACACACACGTACACACACGTACACACACACACAAACACAGGTACACAAACACGTACACACACATACACATGCACACACACGTAACACACACACGTACACACACGTAACACACACACACGTACACACACACAAATACAGGTACACAAACACGTACACACACACACACGTAACACACACACACACGTACACACACGTACACACACACACAAACACAGGTACACAAACACGTACACACACATACACATGCACACACACGTAACACACACACACGTACACACACGTACACACACACACAAACACAGGTACACAAACACGTACACACACATACACATGCACACACACGTAACACACACACGTACACACACGTAACACACACACACGTACACACACACAAATACAGGTACACAAACACGTACACACACACACACGTAACACACACACACACGTACACACACGTACACACACACACAAACACAGGTACACAAACACGTACACACACATACACATGCACACACACGTAACACACACACACGTACACACACGTACACACACACACAAACACAGGTACACAAACACGTACACACACATACACATGCACACACACGTAACACACACACGTACACACACGTAACACACACACACGTACACACACACAAATACAGGTACACAAACACGTACACACACACACACGTAACACACACACACACGTACACACACGTACACACACACACAAACACAGGTACACAAACACGTACACACACATACACATGCACACACACGTAACACACACACTCGTACACACACGTACACACACACACAAACACATGTACACAAACACGTACACACACATACACATGCACACACACGTAACACACACACGTACACACACGTAACACACACACACGTACACACACACAAATACAGGTACACAAACACGTACACACACACGTACACACACATACACACGTACACACACGTACACACACACACAAACACAGGTACACAAACACGTACACACACATACACATGCACACACACGTAACACACACACACGTACACACACGTACACACACACACAAACACAGGTACACAAACACGTACACACACATACACATGCACACACACGTAACACACACACGTACACACACGTAACACACACACACGTACACACACACAAATACAGGTACACAAACACGTACACACACACGTACACACACATACACACGTACACACACGTACACACACGTAACACACACACACGTACACACACCCACACGTGCATACTTCTCCGTCACGTCTCTCAGCCTCCCGGGTGACCCGGGGGGGGGGGGGGGGGGGGTCCCGACCGGTTCCGTCCACCGGTCAACTTCCCGCCAGTTTCCCTCCGCTGCTGCCCTGTCCGTCTCTCAGCCCAGACGGCTCCCGTCCCGTCCGGCGTTTGGACGCTGCCGCTAAGGGGGCCCCCCTCGGCTGAAACATTCGCGCCCCGAGATGTCAGCTCACGGGCGGAATATAAATCCAAGTGTTTATTGGCCTTGATATAATTGAAATGCGCGCCTGTGTGTGTCTCTTGCTGTCTCCGTGTCTCTCCCTCCCCGCTCCCCCCTCCCCCTGTGATAGGCGAGTGCCGCACGGAGAAGCCCTCCGTCGTGCTGCCTTCAGAGCCAGGTGTGAACGCGCGCACGCTCGCAAACGAACTTGCGCACAAAGGCAAAGGTCCCCCGCGTAGCCTTTTGACGGGTGGCGTCTGCGAAGGCCGGCACGGCAGAACCTGCGAGGGGGTGGTTGTGGCCAGTAGCCACGCACGACCGCCTTTGTCTCCCCAGCGCCGACGTTTACACGCGTGCGCGTCAGTGTGTGGGGATGTGCACGTGATATGGGGGATCTTTGTCTTTGTGTGGTGGGGAGCGGTGGTGTAGCGGTTAGCGCGCAGCGCTATGAACCTGGCGACCCGGGTTCGATTCCCGCTCACGGCCAACACCAGTGACGATTATCTGAACCGGTCCTGGGCCTCCCCTGGTGCGGTGGATAAAAACATTGCCACTGGGGAGACAAAGGCGGTCGGGCGTGGTGCTGGCCACCCACCCCCTCGTGTACCGTTACCGGCCTTCGTAGGTGCTCGCTAACAGCACTTGCCCCTACAGCCTGTTACAGGCTATACGGGGGATATCTGTCTTTGTGTAGTGGTGAGCGCGCCGCACTACGAACCCGGGACGCGGTCTCTCGTCGTGTAAACCATCGGGACGCAAGAAAAACAATCCGAATTTGCCTTTGAGAATCCAAAATGGAAATGTTTAAATGCGCCAATCGCAAACTCATGCCCAGCTTTCATCCATGAGCTCGTTTTTTTTTGTTGTTTCGTTTTTTGTTGTTGTTAATTCGTTTGTTTATTTGTGGACCCGCCTTGTTCCCGTCAGCACGAAATCGGCCAGTCAGCAGCGACCAGGCCGCTTTGGGCACCGAAATCCACAGCTCCTGGGACGACGACGACGACAACAACAACAACAACAGCAGCAACAACAACAACAACAGCAGCAACAACAGCAGCAACAACAACAACAGCAACAACGACGACGACGACCTTGACAACGGTGGCGTTGATGAGCCTGACGACGTGAACGAGGTGGCAGAGGAGGAGGAGGAGGAGGAGGTGGAGGAAGAAGACGCTCGCGTCCTGCGTTCGCTCGACCCCATCCTCATCACCATCATCACCGTCAGCTCGCTCGGCGTGCTGCTGGGCGCAGCCTGCACCGGCCTGCTCCTCTACTGCGCTTGCGCCTACGGCGGCGGCGGCGGTGTCGTCGGCACCGGCGGGCGACGCCACCACCTCCACCACCACCACCAGCAGCAGCAGCAGCAGCTCAACCGCAGCCACGGCGGCGGCGGCGGCGGCCGCTGCGTGCCGGAGTTGTCCATCTCGGCGCTCGAGCGGTACAACTTCGAGCTGTACGACGGCGCCGGCAGGGCCAAGGAGAAGAAGACGCCGTGCATCCGGGAGGCCGGCGGCGCCGGGCAGCTCGCCGAGGAGAAGGCGCGGCTGCACACGCAGGGCTCCAGCTCCGAGGCGTAGCTCCGAGGTGAAGGTGGTGTGGCGGAGGGCGAAGGGGCTAGGAGGGGGAGGGGTGTCCGTGACAAGCTGGGACGGCGGCGGGGGTGGACGCGGATGGGACGCGCGGGATGGAGGGACGACGCGAACGTCGTCCGCGCTCGCCGGGGCTGTCGTCGTCATCGTCATCGTCGGCTTCCGGCGATTGTTGCTGTCGGATCGGCGCAAGTTGTGTTTGGAGGCGATGGTCGCCGATGGAGTTGGACTGGTGGATTCAACCGTAGGCACTCGGCAAGAGGATGCTGTTGAATTTCCGTGCGAGTGTGTCTGTGTGTGTGTGTGTGTGCACCCAATTGCTCTGTGTGTGTGTGTGCGTGTTCTGTATTTATCGTTCCGTCAGTGTGTTCTGTGTTGGGCTGTTTGCGCGGTGTGCGTGTGCCTGTCGATGGTCCAGTGTACACTGTTTACGAACTACGTTGCACCGTGGGTATCGTCTTTAATAGGTGCTCGCTAACAGCACTTGCTCCAACGGTATGTTCAAGGCTATACGGGGAATCTGTGTCTTCCATCTGTGTACTGTGTGGCGTGTGTACACTTGTTCTGTACTCTATGTATACATCTCCAGTTGTGCTGTGCACACTGCTGTGCTGTGCCATTCCGGCTTTCCTGAGTGCTGCTGGCTAACAGCATTTGTCTGAACAGTCTGTTAAGGCTATAACGGGGGGGGGGGATTTTTTTTTAAATAAAATATTCTTTGCTGTGTGTCCTATCCGTGCGCTGTATATCTCATGCTTCTGGCATCTGCCGTGCCATCATTTGACGCTGTCTGTGTCTTCCTGTGTGTATGCTGCCCGTGTATTCTGTCTGCGTTTATTGGATGTTCTCTGTTTTGTATGCCCCTGATGTGTCTCGTTTCGGTGTCGTGCGCGCGCGTCTAGTCTGCGTTGTCCGTGTCCTTTGTACCTGAAACCTCGAAAGAATAAATGAAGCCACTCTCGGGACAATGGGAACATAATTTTGTAAAAACTAAAAATCGCAAACTGCAGCCGCTGCTCAAGGCCAACCGGAATGGACTATGAAAAATCCCCATCATCATCGTCATCATCATCGTCATCAAGCGTCTTCCTTATCGCGGTCATCGCAAACCAATTTTCTACCCAAACGCTGCATGAAATCGTTTTGTGACGACGAGCAGGAACAAGACGGGATGGAGCCTGCCTTGGGCTTGTGGAGGCCTCGGCCTGCCTGGGAAGGAGACGTTCCCGGCAAGGGAAGGGACCTGCGTGTTGGGGACCAGCAGGTGGCCGGGTGCTATTTATTAAAGCGGCGGGGCTTTAATGAACGTCACAGGGCGCGCCGTCTATGTTACACGCGCGATGCTTTTTGTACACACACACACGCGGTAATTATGGGCACATTGTTTGTACACACACACACACGCGCGCGGTAATTATGTGCACGTTGTTTTTGAAAAGCCGAAGAACAGTGCGGAGGAGGAAGAGGCAAAGAATGAGGTGGGGGGGGAGATTTTGAGAGAAGCGGAAATGACTGCAATTGAGACTCAAGGTCTGTGTTAGATAACAGATTCTGCAACTAACGAATAACCTGAACCCTTCACACAACCCCAAAGCATAACCCGAAGTCTAAACTGGCTCTGCCTGTAGTCTGAAGCTCTGACCAGCCCTAACCTTAACTGTTGGCTTAACAAAATTCCCTTTCACAAAGCATGTTCATACATCCGCCATTCCACAGTCTTTGCCCTAATTGTGGAACATTCTCCCCACCCTGTCCTTATGCCTAATATTAGCTCCCAACTGTAGCCCCATTTCCTGACCAGATCCCAAAATCCTATCCTTAGCCATACCCCCCCCCCACACCGCCCATCCCCCAAAGCCTTAACTGTCACCGGACCCATAGCCGCCCCAAACTTCGTCGATAGCCATATTTCTAAACCCGTAGGCGCGAACCCTCGTCCTCGCCCCCTGACCTTAGCCCTCTGTCCCCAGCCCTCGCCTGCAACCCCGCACACCGCCCACAGGAAGCTCGTTGGACCATCTGTTCGGTGGTTCTCTTTTGATCATGTGAACAAATGTGGAACGCCGGAAGAGGGAGAGAGTGGATTTTTTTTTTGCTTTAACAAAAACCCAGCGTGAAGGCTGGCTCCTCCACGTGCGCCCCACGTGCTGTCGACGGCTCTGCCGCCTCGCGCGTTCCCGCTTGCTGGTGGCAGAACACGCAAAATGAACCGCGCCATCGTCGCCGCGATTTTCGCAAATGTCTTCCATCGTTTGCATTGCCGCCGTCTTCTTATCGTCGTCATCGCCGTCTTCATCATCATCATCATCGGCATCTTCGTCCGAGCGAAATGTTGCACTCGTACCAAACACACGCGTGTTCACGGGTCGCCCGCACGCACGTGCGTGCCTGGCGGCTACTGTGGCTCATCGAGATTCGCTCTGCTTACTCGGCCGCGCCCTGCGGTGAGAGTTCGGCCGTGACGCCGGCGTGGGGAGCGGCGGCGGGGAGGGCCCTGTGAGGGTTTAAATGCGGCTCCAAACACCACAAGTGCAAGCTCAACTAAACTAACGCGTTTGGAGAGTGAAACTCGGCTAAGTGTGCCAGGGGAGAGGTCCGGGTTGAGATTGGGGTCTGTTTGGCGAGTGTGGTTTGGGGGTTAGGGTCTGGTTAGTTTGGTTTGGTTTGAGTTATGGTCTGGTTAGTTTAGTTTGGGTTAGCTAAGGGTCTGGTTAGTTTGGTTTGGTTTGGGTTAGGGTCTGGTTAGTTGAGTTTGGTTTGAGTTATGGGTAGGATGTGGTTTGATGGTATGATTTGAATTGGGTTGTGATTGACTGGTGTGGTATGGGTTAGGTGTAGGGTGTGATTGACTGGTGTGGTATGGGTTAGGTGTAGGGTGTGATTGACTGGTGTGGTATGGGTTAGGTGTAGGGTGTGGTTGACTGGTGTGGTATGGGTTAGGGTCTCGTTGGTTCGTGATGTTTGCACAATAGCCTAGTTCACTCGTATGAATTGGTTTAGAGGTTAGGGAAAGATTTTCTGGACAGGGTGTGGTAGGCAACTGTGGTTTGGATTCTCAGTAGTGTCTGGTCAGCCAGTGTGGGATGATTTAGGCGTCGTACCTGTTGAGCGAGTGTGGTTTGGATAAGGGCAGTTTCTGGTTGACAAATTGTGTTCCACCCTTTAACAGTTTTCCACCCTCGCTATTGGGAGCTTTTTCACTGATGGTGATCCCTCTGTGCCCAGTCGCCACTCTTTTGCCTGCATTCATTTTATAAAAAGCGACTATAAATCACTTACGGTAAACCTGGCTTTTACAATTATTATTTTGATAATGATTGTGGTTTTCCACGATGTTACTGGCGCATGCGTAGTAACATCGTGATTGCACAACAGTTGCAATGAAGCACAGCGAAGCTGTAATCATCGTCATCGTGGTGATCAAGAGCCATGGTCAATCCACTGCTGGATGAAAGCCGCCTCACCCATTCGCCGCCATCGCACGATGCCGCGTTGTAACAATCCAGCTCGCGCGCCAGCTGACTTCGCCGGGCAATATCCTCTGTGAGCGTCCTTCCAGCGGGTGTGGTGTTTATCTAACAAATACGCAAATAGAACAACAATCTATCTCTAAACCACAAAAGTTAAATGACGTTGAGGACCCTTGAGCATCGTGGGTCATTGTGGTCTTCATAGCCGTTTTCACTCAAGCAGGACAGTATCGGACGTGGCTTTGACCTGTCTGTTAATCATCAGCAGTCCGGCATATCGATGTTTACAGTCAGTGCTGTGTGACAAAACCTTCGCGGAAGTCTCGGTGGAGTCGTGTCCATGAGCGGCACTGTGAGTGTAAGCTCGCGAAAGGTCATGATGTTGTCGGGCTGGAATTGGCAACCACAGTAACAACGAGAAGAGCCATTGTTTTCGAATTCCGTGGGAAAAAAAAAAACAACTCAATATTTCAAGAGTCCACAATGCAACTGCGGTGGTAGTGGTTCCTTAAAAAAATAACTGTGCACGAAGCAGCCGTCCTTAAAGACCCACCGCATGTGGCTCCGGAGTCGTGGGTTGGCGACGATTGCCGGCGACGATTGCCAGCAACGTTTGCCACGCAATATTGAATTTGGACACGAAATTCATTTGAGTTGGCCAAAGCTGAAGGATAAATCCGATCGCTGCTGATCCGAGTGGGGCAACGGAGAAGAATGGCGACATCCAGTCGCAATCGCTCGCAGAAATCACGCTGCAAATTCGTTTCCGTCGGTCCGGACGGAGCCTCCGCCACTAACCACGTGGGCTTTTTTTGACGTCGATGCCGCGCAACTCTGCGGTGATTCCTTCACGACAGCGGTTCTTAACCTAGGGTGCAAGTAACCCCTGGGGGTGCGAGATGCCCTTTCTCTGGGGGGGGGGGGGGGGGGGGGTGCGAGACGTGGCCAGATGTTTTTGTTCGAAGGTAAATGATTGAAACACAAATTAAGTACGGGGCACGTGAGTGGCAACTTGCTTTGTTTCATCAAAGCCTCTGTACGCATGAACATTGTACATTGTTGTCGCGCTTGAGAACCAGAGGGGTGCGCGAGGCTGCAGTAAATGTTAAGAGCCACTGCTTGACGGCGATACGTCGTGAGGAATTCCACCCAGCGGTAACCGCTTTGAAGGTCTGGACGGGTCCTCGGGCTGAGCGGCATCACCCAGGGGGGCAAGGTCAAACGCCGGAGCTGAGACAGAGCCCTGGAGTTAACCTTGAGGACCCCGAGGACGTGTTACGAGTGTTGTCGTCATTAAATGGTGGAAGCAATGCTGCCTTTTTTTGTGTTGTAACATTTTGGCCGCCCCGGTTCAAGACTTCGACAAATGTGTAAAAAAATGTTTTTTTTTTTTTAAATTGAATTTAGAATCCCAAACGAGCCGGAGGAGCAGCGCACGTTGATGGGTACTCGTCTCCGTGCGGACCAGACGAGGTTGCGACTCAATTTTGCCTTTAAAATGTTCTTAAGACGCAGTCTCGCGTTCCCAGCTAACTTAATACTTTATCTTAGCCTCCCACGCGAATGGCACTCCCAGCCAAATAATAATGTGTTTACAGTTTTACAAAAAAATGTTTGTTAAATATATAAATATATATTCCCTGCCCCTGGACACCGTCAGCCAAGTTTCAAGATTTTCTCTCGGCGCACTAACACTGACTCGGTGCTTTTTGTGTTCGCGCGTGGGAGGAAAGCGGGGAGCACTTGCAGGGGGACATTAAAAACGCACGTGTACAGATTGCCGTGCGCAGCGAGACGGAGCAAGTGACTTGCCGTGCCTGCCATCGAGCGGTGCCGCCGCTTGATGGCAGGCACGTTGTCGTCGTCATCATCATCATCATCACCTTTGTTCAAAACAGTGACTCGGAGCCCAATCCCTGTGTGATGAACTAACCCCTACGGGCATGAATCGTCGGATTGAAAACGGAAACGCTCAACACGGGCGTCGACAACACCGTGGCCCTGAATTTTAAAAAAAGGCTATAACAGGCGATGTTTCAGACACTTTAACGCGTCGTAGAAGTCGTTGTAGAAGGCTTTCGAGACCAACATTAACCATGAGAGGGGTTTTTTTTGGGTTGGATCGCTGTAAATATATAATGTGTGTCGTTAAGGCCGCCACCGTACGACGCAGCCAATCAGTAAAGTTTGTCACGTAAACAAAGCACATGTCAATTCGTTTTTAGTTCAGCATAGCGGTGTGTTGTAAATGTTGTAGTGGGTTTACTCTCCACGAGCAACGAATTTCCACGTTTTGTTGACGTGACAGCCCTGACTAATTGGCTGTCTCGGGTGGTGGCGGGTTTGACGACACATTCATATTTACGTTTCAAACAATGCCCCTGGACAACACGTGGAGGCCACATGACTGTTTCGACAAAGCCTCCGACCTCTCTCGCATGCGCTGCGCAGAAGGGTCATTGCCCGAAACGTCGCCTATTGTATACCTGCATTTTAAAGCCCACGGCGCGACCGGCGGCTGCGTTCAGTTGTTTTTCGTTGTTTTGTGCGCCACCGCTGATAGCCCAAACGGCAAATTTGGCGATCGCCCAAAATAAAAAAAACATGAACACACGAATAGGATCGCGCGCGCGGTGAGCGGGAGCGGCATCTGCTGGTCAGTGCTGGTACTACAACTGCCGTGGGTTAGCGAGGACGGTTGGCTTGATTACCGCTGCAGATTTTCCGTACGTGCGTTCGGGATTTTTGTTGTGTGTGTGTGTGTGTTACAGCCTTCTGGCAGCTTGAATTCTGCAAAAAAATGTTTTATGAACAAGCTCTCAGGGGCACGGAGCTAAAACGTCGGACGTCGTGCCAAACAACACGCACGGTCCAAACATAACACACACACACATCGGACAGTCATACGTATCCACAATACAGGGGATCCTCTACTTACGAGTATTCGACTTAAGAACTTTCAGAGATACGAACAAACCTGGTCCGTATGTCCAGTTGCCTGTTCGGACCAAGAGTCGTAAGTTCAACCGCCGGTGGTGACATCTGCAGAACGTGAACAACCAGTGACGTCTACATCTGCAGATCATGAAGAACCAGTGGCATCTACATCTGCAGAACGTGAAGAACCAGTGGCATCTACATCTGCAGAACGTAAAGAACCAGTGGCATCTACAGAACGTGAAGAACCAGTGGCATCTACATCTACAGGACACAAAGAACCAGTGGCATCTACATCTGCAGAACGTAAAGAGCCAGTGGTATCTACATCTACAGGAGATTATACAACTTTTAAAGCCATCCCCCCATGTTTAGTGTACACGCCGTACAACACGTTTTGAATCGACAGCAGTAAAGTTGAGACTTACGGACAAATCGACTTACGAACAGACCTCGGGAACCTAACTCGTTCGTAAGTAAAGGAGCCACTGCATGTCGAACTTCTTTCGCACCGTACGTAGCCAACCGTGCAAATCGGAGGTGCGAGGGAAGGGCAACAAACGGTCACATTTGTTTCGGGGCAGCTGCCTGGGTAGAGATGCAAGGGTTGGTGGATCCCGTAGAGATTCGAGTCCCAAAGTCGGTGAACTGCCAAGTGGGTTCGTGAACACGGCTTTGTGGACCCTGTGTGTGTTTTCGCCACGTGTGTGTGTGTATGCGCCGGGTTTAATCAGCGTCCGACGATTTTCTCGCCACATCTTCGTAATTTTTGTTTTCTTATTTAAAATAAATTTCGCCTACGTAGCGATGTAGCAAGGATCACCCTCCTGCAAGCACAGTCCTGAGGCTTTTGTGAACGATGCACGTGTTCCTATTTGTTGTTGTTGTTGTTGTTTTTGTACGCATAAGGAATTGTCATGTATTTACCCAGGAAAGCCTCGCTGAGTCCCAAGACTTGTTTCCATGAGGGTGCTGCTGCTACCAATATATTTGGGATGTTTTGGCCATGAATGATCCCATCAGTGAAGAGTCGCAGAGCGTTCCCTGGCCTGTTGTGGGTGACCACGGTGTGAGACTGTGGTCACTCGCAGCAGAAGCGTGGGACATCATCGTCATCATTATCACGATCCGCGGGCCACATAGCCCGTAGGTGGTCCACCGCACATTTCGTCATTAGTTGTTTCCACTTTTCTCCCCGTCTTGCAGTGCCGACGTGCTCAGGTTGCACACACGAGGCAACGTAATGCCCGATTCACAAATACGAAGGAGCCATCGTCGCAGGCAGCGATAACGCCACGCCGGTGCTCATGACGAAATTATTTGGCCCATCGACCACCTCGGGAGTAAAATTACAGCGTGATGCCCTCCGTCAATACGCGGCCGTGCGAAGGAGAAGTGAGCGTGGGGCTTCACGTGGGAGAACATGGGTTCGTGACCCGTGTACGCTAACCGCCATCTGTTGGTCACCAATCCTCACACGCAAATGGAACACGGTTAGTCTCAGTTCGATTTGCCCTGTCGGCTTCCCAGACCAACTGTGGCAAGGAATATTGTGGTTCCTTGACAGGAAAAGCAAACTCTGGACCGGTTTCAACCTTCTGGGTCTCATCAGCGTGCTCGGAAGCAATGAGGCTGCTTGCTGATGGGATTAAACAAAAAAACGTTGTATTTATATGTGGAGACGTGACGGTTGTTCCGGATATTTCATTTTTTCGATAATGTGCGGGATGAGTTTGTGTATGGCAATGCATATGCAAGTGCGTTCATCATCAATCAATGATGGTCCAGCAGTGGATCGATCATGGCTGATGATAATGTTGTTGCATTGGAGGGAATGATGGCACGGTAGGCGGACCTAAAAATATGAAGTTGGCATGAAAGGAAACTGCCATTGTTTGTATTATATTGTTTTAACACGTAGTATGCTTTTGCGACCAATATCATTCATGATAGAGTTTTTTGTGGGTTAGATCGCGTAAACATACAAATGTGTCGTTAAACCCGCCACCACCCGACACAGCCAACTAGTGAGGGTTGTCACGTCAACAGAACGTGGTCAATTCATCACCAGTACAGCACTAACCGATTGTGTGTTGGAGAGCCAAGCCACAACATTTACAATCTGAGTACGACGTTTCGCCAGTAATTACAACTAGCTTCATCAGGCGACAGCCAGATTTGAGGAGAAATATTCCCGTTTCGTTCCTTAAATAGAGGGATAGATGTTACGGGTTTAACGATACATTTATATTTATGTGATCTAACCCAAAAGCCCTATATCATGGTTGTATTATATTGTTTTACAGGACTGTATCGTGAGTTTAACACAAAGCTATACCTTTCGTCGCTGCTTGAATGTTTTTGTACGTTTTGTTTTACTGGATTTCTACAGTAATAATAATAACAACCACGATGACAATAATCGTGGAGGCTGGACAAACCAAATGTTTTAATTTGTGCCGAAGCGACATTTTGTAAATAAAGTCAACAAGCAATTCCAATCATCCACGTGTCGTGTTGCCTTATTAGAGTTTGGTGAAGGACATGCGGGCGCGTGTGTGGCCTATTAATTAGCAGCGGTGGCGTAGCCGCGCTACGAACCCGGCCACCCGAGTTCGATTCCCGCTCACGGCCACCGACGCCAGTGACGATTAGGTCGGCTGGGCCTCAAATGAGCAGTGTATCTGGTGCGGTGTGTGAGCGTCGCCTCTGGGGGAGACAAAGGCGGTCTAGGCGTATTCAGCAGTCATCATTTCTGCGTATTCAGCAGTCATCATTAAGCAACATCCTCAAATTGCAACGGTGACAGAACGACGACCATGCTGCTCGTGTTGTCCTTTGTGTCAAATCATCCACGACTCGGCCACCGCTCTCCATGCTGATGGAGCTCGTTGCAATTCCAGGCGAAACGTCGTACTCAGATTGTAAATGCTCTGGCTTTGCTCTCCAACACGCACCCGATGGTGCTGTTCCAGTAACGAACTGGCACGTTCTGTTTACGTGACAACCCTTACTAGTTGGCTGTGTCGGGTGGTGGTGGGTTTAACGACACAGTTATATATTTACGCGATCTTACCCAAAAATACCTCTATTAAGGATGTATACAAGTACAATCACCGACAGTTATTGTCCATTAAAACTCTCTGTGTGTATTCTTGGTTCTTTCGGTAAAGTCACGTAGAAGGGAAACAATAACACAATAAGAAAACATTCTCACGACGTTTCTACTGCAACACAAGCAATCATCATCAGGTGTGAAAACCACAGTTAGCACCACCGAGAGCGATTTGGCACTTGTTCAGATGGACGAGTCCATCTATGTTCGGAAAAGAGGAGAGGAGAGACGAAAATAATGGATGCGGTCTGAAAGCCACCATAAGCGTGAACAATCAATTAAGACCCGAAATGGTTGATCAAATCCTTCCAATGATTGCCATAAGCCATCTTCTCGGTTGAAATTGTCTCTGTGTTTATATATGTGGATAGCCTCATGAACGAATCTCTCATGGTAGCCAGATGGCTTGTAGAGAACCTCTGTCTTGGAGAAGTCAATGTCATGTGAGCCTACTGAATTATAACAGTGATCTGCCACGGCCGAGGTGTTGGTCCTACCGTGTTTTAGGTCTGATTTGTGTTCACGAATGCAGTCCGAGACATGTCGTTTGGTTTCTCTAATGCAACTACTACCACAGAGGCAACTTAGTTTGTAGCCGCCAGAGTACTGTATGTCCGGAATCACATATTTTACAGACGGAACCAGATCACGGATTTTATGTAATGTGTTGAATCGGACCTGGATCTTGTCTTCATTCAAGATTTTGGATATATTTTTTTGTGATCCCCGCAATGTAGGGTTCTTTGCAAGCCATCTGGCTACCATGAGAGATTCGTTCATGAGGCTATCCGCATATACATATACAAACACAGAGACAATTTCAATCGAGAATATGGATTCTGGCTTAGCAATCATTGGAAGGATTTGATAAACCATTGTGCACATGCACAAAGTCACTTTAAGATGTTTTCTTGTTCATGTTTTTGTTTTTTTGTTTGTTGCGGTTTCACCCGATTCAAGAGCCGAATGGCTCACAGGGCTACACCAAATAAATGAAACAATGAAACTATGGGTCTTAATTTATTGTTCACGCTTATGGTGGCTTTCAGACCGCATCCATTATTTTTCGTCTCCCCCCTCCGCTTTTCCGAACATAGATGGACTCGTCCATCTGAACAAACTGCCAAATCGCTCTCCGTGGTGCTAACGTTAAAAAAACCGCCACTTTTTGCAAATTTTCTTGCTGTGATTTTCACACCTGATGATGATTGCTTGTGTTGCAGTCGAAACGTCGTGATAATTGTATTGTTTTATATTTTTATTATTTTATTGTTTCCCTTCTACGTGACTTTACCGAAAGAACCAAGAATATGAATCCCTGCAGTCACGAAAGCTTTAAATCAAAAAAGAAACGTATGATTTTTTTTTTATGTAAAGCTTTCGTGACTGCAGTAATTCATATTCTTAGCTCTTTCGGTAAAGTCACGTTGAAGGGAAACAATGAAATAATAAAATATATATATATAATATATGCATGAATATTAATTAACCATTAATTAACCATACAGTTGAAGGGAAACAATAAAATATGTATAAATATATATTTATTTTATTGTTTCCCTTCAACGTGACTTTACCGAAAGAGCTAAGAATGTGAATTACTGCAGTCACGAAAGCTTAAAATCAAAATAAATGTATGGATAATTAATATTCATGAAATTACGTCACCAAACGGACTTGACAAATTCAAATTAGGGAACCGTTGGTGACGTCGGGCGCCGCTTTCAAATCTGATTGGTCGCTGTGGCAATTTGAATCTGGCGGAAGGCGCGAGCGCGGGTGCCGGGTGAGTCTCTCTTCTGAGGTGATTTTTAAATTATAACAATTACAAAAAAATTTAAATAACACGCATATTTTGACTTGTGTGTGTGTTGTTTTGTACCGCTAAGAAGGATGGGTTTTTTTATTTTTAATTTGTCACTTTGTCCGAGCGAAAGCCACCGCCTCAGGCTGAGTGCTCGAGTTGTTGTCGTTGTTGGGGAGCGATCGTCGGGGGCGAGTCGAGGCCTGAGACGCCTCGCCTCGGCACAAGGCCTCAATGCGGCCCATTGTTTGAGGCGAGCGTGGGCTTTTGAAGTTTCTCAATTCAACAATTCTAAAAAGTAAACTATGTCAACTCCCCCCCACCCCACTCGCCCCACCAAAGTATTCGAGGTACGAGCCGATTGCGTCGAAACTAGCCTGATAGCGTCTGCATTGGTAGGCCCCCCCAGGGTTGAATAGCGTTAACGTTTTCACATTGCTACGTCGGCGGGTATTTACCTACACACAGTACACATGTCCAGCATGTGCACCACTTTTTATAAAACTACTGCTGGATGACGGGGCTTCCCCCCCCCCCGCCTCGTGTTTATCCACTCGTGTGTACAGTACGCGTACAGCCTGCCGTTTTGTCAGATCAGGGAGCGGTAGTGTAGTGGTTAGCGCACTGCGCTACGAACCTGGTCACTCGAGTCCGATTCACGCTCACGGCCAACACCGGTGACGATTATCTAAAACCTTTCTGGGCCTCCCCTAGGTCGACTCTGCCTCAAACGAGTACCTGGTGCGGTGCGTGGTAAACATCGCCGCTGGGGAGACAAAGGCGGCAGGGCGTGGTGCTGGCCACCCACCTCCTCGCGTGCCGTGCCTTGCCCTTCATAGGTGCTGCTCGCCAACAGCACTTGTCCCAACAGTCTGTTACAGGCTACACGGGGGGGATCTTTGTGTGGGAGGGCAGAGGAGCGACGCTCACAACAACGAGCGGGAGCGCCTTGCGGATAAACCACAGAAAGTTGGCACAGAAAGGCACCTGCTGGGTCTGTCCCGTGACCTTCCAGCGGGCCTTCGACACTTCACGTGGCCTTAAAGTGCACCTAGCCTGGCACAAGCTCCGTGGTGACGTCACCGTCACTTGGTTTCAAAATCCCAAGCAGTCACCCGTCTAATCACTCACCGTGCTTAACGCTGCTTAGTTTATCGTTCTGTTGTCCTACCCACATTTTTTTTGTGTGAATGTCGTCTTTGAAAAACCTGAGCCTGTGGTGGAAATTCCACTTTTCTATGACGGGGGGAAGGCTCTGCAGTCTGTCACATACAATCCACTGCTGGACGAAGCCCTCTCCAAACCATCACCACCTCCTATCGTCTTACGATGCAACCACTCTCATCGCTTCGTCACCGCAGTGGATGTCCTCTTGGTGGTGCAGCGCTGCTGCACTACGAACCTGGTGACCCGAGTTCGATTCCCGCTCCCGGCCAACATCGGTGACGATTATCTGAACCGGTCCCTGGCCTCACCTAGGTCGCCTCTACATCAAATGGGTACCTGGTGCAGTGTGTAAGGATTGCCACGAGTGAGACAAAGGCGGCCGGGCGTGGTGCTGGCACCCCACCCCCTCGTGTGCCGTGCTGGCCTTCGTAGGTGATACTAACAGCACTTGCCCCAGCAGTCTGTTAAGGCTACACAGGGGATCTTTGTTTACTTTATAACCATCGTAATAAAGTTCCTAGAATATGCACAGCGTCTATGAGATATTCACTGTGAATGGGGCAGCGGTGGCCCAGTGGTTTGCACGCTGCACCATCGAACCAGCTCCCTGGGTTTTGTTTCCCAGGCACACCTAACATCGGCGGCGACTGATGTGTGGACAAGTCCTGGGCCTCACTCTCAGACTTTATTTCCATCTGGTGAGGCCTTTTGAGTTAAGCGGCTCTTTTACAAGGGCGACCAGACCAAGACCGTCCGATTGGCGGCGGTGGCAGCCGTTTCAGGACATTGCAGGGAGGGAATGTGCAAACTAACGAGCAAAAAAACAAAGAATATTCATCAACTCGCACTGGTGAGCGTAGTGAAAGGTGGGGAATAGCCCCGAGGATTGGCACAGCGTAAGGGCACCTTCATCCAGCAGTGGATTAACAGAAATATGTATCGTCAGCTTTTATTATATTACCATTTGCCCAGGTTACCCCTTATCCCGTTCATACACGCACAATTTGCCGCATGTGTTATGACCGTCTTAACCTGATTTTCCCGGTGAATTGTTGCGCCTGCCCCTTCACTCTGCTGGTAGGACGTTGGATCGAGGCTGCCGCCCGTAGCATTCCCCCTGCTGCACGCATACACGCCCTTCGTGTTTGACGAGCCCGGGAGACAATGGCGACCGTTAAGGGGGCCCTGCTGCCCCTCTTTGATGACATGGTGCGGCAGACGGACATCCTCACCATGGGCATCGAGCCAGGTGAGTCCACCATGGGGGTTGAGTGTTGGCGAGGATAGACTGGTGGACAAGGTTCTGTGGTTCAGGGCAAGGGTAGACTAGTGGCCAGGGGTTGACCCTGCTGGGTAAAGGTAGACTGTGGTGGACAAGGGTATGTGGGTGAGGATATACCGTGGCAGTTAGAGCGCAACTGTAATGGGAAAGGGCAAAGCAATCTCATGGACGGCGATGCCAACCCATGGTGGGCAAGGCCAACATAAAGGTTACAGCGGGCTTGAAGTTTCAATTTGTCACCGAACCATCAATGAAATTGGCAACACGAAGCCTAGAATGACAGCTCCCTCCTATCCCCCCCTCCTATCCCCCCCTCCACAGAGTTTGTAGCGTTTGTGCGGAGCGTCGAGGATGCGCGGCAGCGCTGGCAGGGCGTGGAGACGGAGCTGGGGCGGTGCCGCCAGGCGCTCGCCAAGACGGAGACGGAGCGAGCGGCGCTCGACGTGAAGCTGAAGCACGCACGCAACCAGGTGGACGTGGAGATCAAGCGCCGCCAGAAGGCGGAGGTGGCGTGCGAGCGCCTGGTACGATCCGCGCGCGCGAGTCGCGAGTCGCGGGTGTTTAATGTGTCGCGCAGCGGCCGTGCCTCGCCGCATTATGTATGTATGTATGTCGACATTATTTCGTACCGTACGTATACAAGCATGCTTATCGGAGGTTAGCCAACCGTGCGGGTTTGGCGAAGGCCCAGGACGGCGTGACATGTCACTCGCCTTCGATGGTAGTAGCCGTGGCCAGGAATTGAACTGGAGTCGGTGGGTTCTGTCGCGCACGGTGCGTTATAAACCGCTGCACCACTGCTGCGCGAAACGTTCGTACCTACCTCCTCCCCCCGGTTCCAGCGAGGGGTTAGGATTGCTTTTGAAAACGTAATGGGGCTCTGATTACTGATTGCTCGTGGCTTAATAAGCAAAGGTAACGCTCGCGCTCGCGTGTTCGGCCTCGAAGTTTTTCCGCCCGCGCCCTTGACGCTTCGCTGTCCCTCGCGCGTGCCGCCGTCGTGATCGTGCTCCCAGGACCGGCAGATCCAGCTCATCCGGGAGCTGCTGCTGGTGCAGGACAGCAGCTGCAGCTTGCAGCTGAGCGAGGAGCAGCGCAATGCCCTCGCCTTCCTCAACACCCGCACCTCTAGCGGCCTCGCGCCCAAGGCTCACCGGTAACCAACGTGGGTGGGGGAGGCGGGGAGGATCGTGATAATAAGTCGGGGTCCACCGGACTAACACGAGCAGTGCTTGAGATAACTGCCTGCCTACCCATTGTTCTACAGGTTTCCCTCACTTTACGCAGTTGATGCATTACATGAGACAACTGCCTGCCGAGTAGCGCCTACAGAACACGGACGCAATGTTTTACCACGTCTGACCGCATAGCCACACGAGAGTGATCAAACCGCATGATAGAGTGCATTTTGGGTAGAAATAGTTTCGCTGCATAAACAATGCGACATCCCGCAAGCTGAATGCGTGTAACGTGAGGGCAACCTGTACACATTTAAATTAAAATATGTATATGATAAAACTAACCAGCTTGTGTGCCGTGTGTACACTGTGTGCGTGGGTTTACACCACCACCACCACCACCCTATCCACCGGTACCACCCTAACGCCAGCCTCACCCGCATTGATGAATCGTCCAACTCCATCCTGTCGGCGTCGGACATCAGCTACGACCGCACGGACGATGACCTGGTGAGCGGACAATGGCTTCTTTGGTGGTGATATACGAGATCGGCCACTTTGTTGCTATGCCCCTGAAATTCATTATGTCCGTGTGTCCATCCCATAGTATTAAGAAAATGAATAAAATCCCACTTCACTGCACAGAATACCAGTGCAAAAATGCAAGAATATCGTTTTTTGGGGCAATATTGGCAATGAAATATTTATATTTTAAACTTCATGCTGCTTACCAGTGATCGGTGCGTGTGTGTTGGCATGCGTGCGCGCATGTGTGTGTGTGGATATTTGAGCCCACACACAGTCAGGAGGTCACGGTCTGTCCTGTGTACCTCTGCCCATCCATACCCATTTTGAGTCTTGAGTCGATCTAGGGGAGGCCCAAGACAAGGTTAACATTTGCCACCATTATTGGTCGCCGTGTTCATAGCGCATTTGCCCGAAAATTGCGGTTACGCATTGTGGCCTTAAAAATAGCCGTGGTGGCTAAGCAGTTGTGGCTGCGTCATTTCGTGTTGCATCATGTTAACGCTCTCCGTTTCGCTTCGCCGTGCGGCGTGCTGCCTTTCCCAGGACACGGACGCGTCTGTGCTGCGGAGCGGGCGTAGGGGAGACAAGCGGGTGCGTGCGTGTGTGTGCCGCACCTCACGATGCCGCCCTTTGCTCCGCTGCTCGTGTATTGGCCTAGCGCTGTCATCGGCTGAGTTGCCGCACCACCTTCATCATAATCTTACTGAGCTACTTAAACTAAACTCTTCTTTACTTGACCAGGTAAGGCCGACTAAGCTGTATCGCTCTTTTTTTAGATGCAAGCTGACCACAAATCATAGCTCAGCCAAGCGGCTTATTGTGTGGAAATTTATAGCAGCCAAATACTCTAAATGCACGTTGATTCTAAATGTGGAGGGAAAAACCGGAGGACCCGGAGAAAAATCCACGCGACCACAGAGAGAGAGACACACGAAGACTCCAAATATACAGCAGGCGTCAGGGTCGGGATCGAACCCACAACCTCCTTTATACCAGGCAAGGTAGTTAACATCTTGCCACCGTGGCGATGAAAGAGGCATTACAGCGATACACTCCGATGCTCTAACGCGGTTGTCTGGCTTGGCCACCAAAATGTGAAATTGTAGTTGTTGTTCTACATGTACATCAGCCATATGAAACAACTCCACTCTGAATAAAGGCCCTTCCCACACTGTTGCAACCCTTCATTTGGAACCTCTTATGTAATGGGTTTCGTTGACCCCTATAGGTGCTAGAGGCTGCTCAAAAAATATTTCTGACTACTCACCAGTGGCACTTATTATAGTTCCACTCTGTCAATCTGCCCCACCCACCCCGCTGTTCACCAACTTACAATCTATACCATTGAATGGCTAAACAATCTAAGCATCAACTTAGAATATTTGTCTTCCAAAAAAATTCCACTTACCATAATGACCCTGTTGCTTGGCTCGGTTCACGTGTGTCGGTGGAAAAAAAAAAGAAAGCGGTTTGTGGAAGTGGTCATCTATGTATACTTACGGTCGTGCATCCCCTCCCGTGGTCGTCTGCGCAGAAGTCTCCGCGCCTGCACCACGCCGAGACGCCACCGGTCCCCGCCAAGCGCTCCTGCATGATCTCCGAGGAGGCCAAGGTAGGCTTTTCTGCACACCGTATTTGTGGGAATGCGGACAGGTTGCCGTTGACCGGGGGTCGGCAACCTGCGGCTCTTTAAGGACTGCTTCGTGACGTTATTTAATCAGGACCACCACCGTCTTCGTATTCACCACGTGCATCGCGGCTCGTGAAATATTGAGATTTTTACCGAATTCGAAAAAAATTGCCGCTCTTGTTATTTTGGTTTCCGACCCATGGTCGTTGACCCTGCAAGTCCGGTGCGTCTGTTCCGCGTGGTTCTGTTGCCCACCGACTGCACGCCTTTGTTCGTCGCCGGCCTCCACCTCCTCCGTTCTACGGCGTCTTGTGATTTGCGCAAATGAACCGGCGGTGAAAGTATTTGGTTCTGACGCTGGCGACGGCGGCGGTGCAGGGTAACGAGTCGATCATCGCCACGACGACGGTGACGGTGCCGCAGCACGGCGGCACCATCGAGGCGGTGTCCACCATCGAGACGGTGACGCGGCCCTCGCGCCGTCGCTCCAGCCGCGGGCGCCGGCTCTCGGCCGTCAATGGCGGTGAGGGCCGGACGAAGTGGGGGGGGCCCCACGCACGCACGGGGAGAGGAGAAGACGTAGAGGGAGCGGTGGGGGGGGGGGGGGACACAGGAGAAGAGATCAGAATCGGAATATTTGTACTGGAGGAATCCGATGAGCTATAAAGCTCTTTTTCACAGATGTCCAGTTGGAGTAGGTCGGAACATTACAACAACAAACAATACAAAAACACAATAGGACTTCAAAGTATAGGGAAGGTAAGCAAATTGCCTAAAAAATATATATATACAAATAAAATCAAACAAATTCTATCTTAAATTTTGATTTTCGTGACTGCAGGAATTCATCTTCTTCGGTTCTTTCGGTAACGTCACGTAGATAGAAAATGAAATGGAAATGAAAATAATGATAAATATATAAAAACACAAAAACTCACGATGTTTCGATCGCAACACAAGCGGTTGTCATCTATCTTGCCAAATTCTATCTTACCAAGTAAAGCCCACTCAGCTATTGGGTTCTTTTTCAGAAGCGACCTGGCCACAATTGATAGCTCAACGAAGTGGCTTATGTGGAAATATATAGCGGCAAAATTACCTAAATAATTTAAACGCACGTTTCAAGGTAGGGGGGGGGGGGGGTTGTGGGGAGGAGCACGAGAGTATGAAGGGACAGTGGATGCGCAGGGAGAGGAGGAGATGCAATGGGTGGAAGCATTGGAGGGGAAGAGACGTTGGAAAGGATGAGGGGGCATCAGAGTATGTAGGGACAAGGGGAGATGTATGGGGAGGGGAGGAGTCTCAATGGAGAGGGGGAGATGCCAGGCAACACACTGGGAGACATGGGGAAAATAAAGGGATACGAGATGCATAGGGAGAGGAGGAGACGCACGGACAGAGGAGATGATCGGGAGGGCATGGAGGGAGAGACACGAGGGCATACACGAACAGGAGAGGACGTGGGGACAGGGGACTATGCATGGACAGGAGGGCAGACACTGGAGTAGACAAGGCTGTATGCACTCTCTCTCACCGTGCGTCTCCATGTGTATGATCGCGTGTCTTCCCGTCTACCGCCGTCTGTCTCTCTACCACCAAGCGTCTCCATATCCTCATCCCGTGTCTGTGTATCTCTGACTCTCCGTGTCTGACTGTTGTGTCTCCGTAACTCAATGCGTCTCACCCTGTCTCACCAAGTGTCTCACCAAGTGTCTCTGCGTGTCTCCGTGGCTCACCGATTCTCGCCGTGTGCCGCCCTACAGAGCCAAATGTCATGTCTGTGGCCATGCCGCCCTCCGGGGCCGGAGATGGCACCCCCAGGAATCTGCGGCAGCACGACTTTGTGCAGAAGACGGTAGGGAGCGCTCTCTCCCACTGCTCACACACACGAAGAATACAATGACAAAGATCCCCCATATAGCTTGTAACAGACTGTTGGGGCAGGTGCTGTAAGCGAGCACCTATGAAGGCCAACACGGCACATGAGTGTTTGGATGACCAACACCGCCTTTGTCTCCCTAGTAGCGATGTTTCCACACCGCACCAGTTACTCATTTGAGGCTGAGTCGACCTAGGGGAGGCACAAGACCGGTTCATATATTCGTCACCGAATTGAACTCGGGTCGCCGGGTTCATAGCGCAGCGTGCTAACCAAGACACTACCGCTCCCTACACTAAGAATACACACATATATATGCACTGTGTCCACGTTTGAATACGTGCGTTAAATTAGTGTACCTATGTTAGCGCGCATGTGTGTGTACCTCTGGCCACGCGTCTGAACCAATGTGTGCCTGGGCGCGTGTGTGCCTGTGTTTGCGCACGTGTACAGACCTGCGTGTACCGATAAACTATTTAGACTTCACCAGGCAAGGCCCACTGAGCTATCTAGCTCTTTTCCAAAAGCGACCTGGCCACGAATGATCGCTCAACAAAGTGGCTTATCACGTGCAAATTTATAACGGCTAAATTCTCTTAAACGCCTGATGTTGATTCTAAGTGTGGAAGGCAAAACCGGAGGAGCCGGAGACACGCAAGCTCCGAATATGCAGGCGTCGGGATCGAGCCCATGACCTGCATACCAGGCGAGGTTATTCTAACATCTGACCACCGTGGCGCCCTCTCCCCGCTCGTCTGAATGCGCGCGCGTGTGCCCCGTGCGTCGCAGTCGATCAAGCCGGAGGCGTGCGTCCCTTGCGGACGGCGCATCCGCTTCGGCAAGATGGTGCTGCGCTGCCGCGAGTGCCGCACGGCGGCGCACCCCGAGTGCCGCGACCGCTGCCCCCTGCCGTGCGCGCCGGCCGTGCCCAGCACGCCGCTCACGCTGGCCGAGGTCAGTCGTCGTTCTCATCGCCGTCGCGATAATCTCTCTTCCACGAAGCGCCTTTCATGTCGAAATATCTCAAAGCGCTGCGGTGCACAAAACAAGTTCTGTCTGTGCAAAATAAAGTAAAGGTCGACGTTTTGCAGGGCACGGTGGCCGACTTTGCGCCGAGCACGGCGCCCATGATCCCCATGCTCGTCATCCGCTGCGTGGGGGAGATCGAGCAGAAGGGCATGCACGAGGTGAGCACCACCCCCAGCCACTCCCCCCCCCCCCCCCCCTCCCGTGCCCTCCTCCCCATGCCTTGCCCTGCTCCTCCACACCTGCCCTTACATTACCCCTGTGTTGCCGTGCTACTTGGTCTGATTCTTTGCCCTGTCCTCCCTTGCCCTGTCCCCTGCATTATCCTGTTCCTCCATGAAATCTCTTGTTTTCCTTTGCTATTCATGCCCTTGCCTCGCCCCCCGCCCCGGCCTACCGTTGAGAGCTTGCCTATCCGATTGTTTTAAACCGTTTACTTGGCCAATAATCGGTTAGCTTATTCATTTTGATTTAAAGCTTTCGTGACTGCAGTAATTCATATTCTTAGTTTTTTCGGTAAAGTCACGTTGAAGGGAAACAACAAAATAATAAAATATATATAAAACAATAAAAAAATTCTCACGACGTTTCGACCATAACTAGTTATGGTCGAAACGTCGTGAGAATTGTTTATGGTCGAAACGTCGTGAGAATTATATAGCTTATTCATGTTATGGTATAACATGCAAAATAGTTGGGAAAACAGGGTGAGGGCGACACAATTGGCATCTTCTGCGTGCGGTACTTAGGGGGTTTCCCACCTTCGGGAGCGGTGGCGCAGTGGTTAGCGCACCACGCTACGAACACAGCGCCCCGTGTTTGATTTCTGGCCACGGTCAACATCGGTGGTGAATGTCAGAACCGGTTCTGGGCATCCCCCTGGGCCAGTGTCTTTTTATTCCAAGGCCCGCGGGCCACTGGCGACCCCTGGTCGCCTTCAGTGCGGCCTCTGGGCGCCACCCCATCATGCTGCTGTCAAACCCCAGTGGTTTCAAATGTGTGGCGGCACCCCACACTGGTGATGTTTTATCGGCAAAAGTGCCCCCCCCCCCCCCCCCCTCTCTCTGAGAATTAGTGAAGAACACTGCCCTAGGTCGACTTCGGCTTACACGAGTGCCTGGCGGCGTTGTGTAAACACAGCATCAGCATGACAAAGATCGGCCGGGTGTCTCCCCAGCCACACCAACACCCTTGCGCGGCCGTGCCGGCCTTAATAATAGGCGCTCGCTAACAGCGACCCGCCCTCAACATGACAGTCTGTCAAAGACGACGCGGTGGGGGGGGGGGGGCAGGGGTGGAATGTTCACCTTTTTGTCTCCCGTGGCGGACGGCGTCAGACGGGGATCTACCGCGTGCCGGGCTGCGACCGCACGGTGAAGGAGCTGAAGGAGCGCTTCGTGCGCAGCCGTGGCACCGTGCCGGTGCTCAGCAAGGTGGAGGACGTCCACGTGGTGTGCGGCCTCCTCAAGGACTTCCTGCGCAGCCTCAAGGAGCCGCTGCTCACCTTCGCGCTCAACGGCACGTTCATGGCGGCCGCAGGTGAGCGGGCCTGCACCATGAACCCCTCGGCTAAACTCTTTTCTATTTTACCAGGTTAAAGCCCCCCACTAAGCCATTCACCCTTTTTCAGAAGTGAAAATCAGGAGGGGGACCAGCGGTGCAGACGATAAAAATGATACGGAATTCTCAGCTCGTGTACATTAAAATAAACAATCTTCTCGCCAGCTGCTGATTGTCTCAACTTTTTCCTCACCATATGTTGGCTTTAGTTGGTCGTTCTTCGTACGGTGCGAAGTGGCTCATCATCATTATCACGTGGGAATTTCTAGCAGCCAAATATTCTAAACGTTTGATGTTGATTTTAAATTTGGAGGGGAAAAACCGGAGGACCCGGAGAAAAATCCACGCGACCACTGGGAGAGAGACACGCAGACTCCAAATATATAACAGGCGTCAGGATCGAACCCACCACCTCCTGTATGCCAGGCGAGGGAGTCAACATCTCACCACCTGCTGAAATAGTGTGTGATCTGTCGTTTTTTGTTGTTTTTGTAATTTGTTGTTCTGTTGTTGCTTTTTTGTTGTGTTTTGGCAGAGGCGGTTAGGCCACGTAACGCTAAATAGTCGTGAAACAATTGGGCACGATTCACAATTCTGCCAATTTGCCTGATGACGCTGGTTGTAACTATCGGCGGATCGGTCGTACCCAATTGTTAGATGTCGTGTGGCTTGTTTTCCAATATGAGCGGCGGTGCTGCTGCTGATGAAGCAGTAATACAGTGACACCTTTGTTAATTGCCAGTGTCGGGTGGAGGAGGGTGTACGACACACATTTTACACACGTGGCCCGTCCCAAAAGTCGTGCTAACCTCCAGTTAGCAAGATTGGCTACACACACTGCGAAAGTAGTTGAACATGCACGCATACAAACTTGCAGACTCTACTTCTCCTGTAAAAATCCGGCTCTCCGCATATGAAAAAAAAGTATCTCTTACACAAATCGTCAGCCGTGCACCACCTTCTGGGTTCGCATTATTTCAGCAGCATTGATTCAAATACAGTAAGACCCCTGGTTGCGCAAGGCCCGACTTATGGAAATCCGACTTTACGGAAATTCTTCCATAAATAATGTGTAAAAAAAAAAATGGATGTACGGAAATGTTTGCGCTAGTTACATAAGCGCAAGTAGTGAAGCGCGGTGAGAGGCTGCGGATGAATACCGCGGAACGAGGCGTAAGGACCCGCCTTGTGCCTCGCTCCGCCAAAACGCCGCCTTCACTGAGCCCACGGTTCACCGGGATTGAAGTAAATGGAAATGTTTGTACCGTTACGCTATTCCTTTCCTTTTGTAGCGTTATGTAATTGTTGGTTTTTTATGCTTAGAACGCTTTTTTTCCCCCTCCCCCTATGTTTCTGTTGTTTTCTTTATTGAAAATTTCTTTCACGAGTTATTTACCGTATGTGCTTTATTTAACACAATTACACTTCGGTTGCTTATGGTCTCAGCCAACAGCGATTGGAGAAGCCTCGGCCTAGCCTAATGCATGGTAAAATAACATTCGTAAGTGACTGCTTTCTGTTAACAAAAAAAAAATCTTGGTATTCATAAACACTTGGATGCATTATATGTTCCATTAGTTTAATTATTAGCAGTGTTTGGGTAAATATTCAATTAAATGAAAGAATCGTAGGAAGTTGCAGAGCGTATATACAGCGATGCGATGCCGGAAGCGATAGAAAACGGACGACGGCGTGATGCAGCACTGACAGAAAACGGTAGGGGAGGTGTAACTATATCCAGCTATGGGATTTGGCCTTCAATTTGGTGGGAAATTGTTCAGCTTCGGACATACGGAAAACTCGGGTAATGGATCGTTCTCGGGAACCTAACCCCCTAACCCATCCGTAACCCAGGGACTGCCTGTACAAACAAAACCCGGCCGATTTTGACCGACTGCTGATGAGACGCTGTACGTCGAAACCGGACGCGGACACGCACAAACACTCGCGTGAAGATGAACTTTTAAAACTCGCATGCGTGTCGGCGTGCGTGCCTGCGTGCTTCTGCAGAGATCCCGGACGAGGATAACAGCGTGGCGGCCATGTTCCAGGCGATAGACGAGCTGCCCCAGGCCAACCGTGACACGCTTGCCTTCCTCATGCTGCACCTGCAGAAGTGAGGCCCTCGCACGCACACACTCACACACTCGCACACACTCGCACACTCGCACACACTCACACACACTCACCCACGCACACACTCGCACACACTCACACACACTCACACACTCGCACACACTCACCCACTCGCACACACTCGCACACACTCACACACACTCGCTCACACTCTCACACACTCGCACACACTCGCACACACTCACACACTCGCACACACTCTCACACACTCGCACACACTCGCACACACTCACACACACACACACACACTCGCACACACTCGCACACACTCGCACACACTCACACACTCGCACACACTCGCACACACTCGCACACACTCGCACACACTCACCCACTCGCACGCAACAACAGCCGCCATTCGCCACTAAGTGGCGGTGACGTCACCACGACGACGCTTGTGCCAGGCTATGTGCACCCCGAGGCCACGTGAAGTGTCGAACGCCCGCTGGCAGGAGGTCACGGGGCAGACCCAGGTGCCACGGGTCGACTGACTGAGATGACTGGCTGATGCACCACCTGTGCCCCCTACTGTGCCAACCTGCTGTGCTTTAGCCACCTGGCGCTCCGCTCGTTGTTGTGAGCGTCGCTCCTCCGCCCTCCGTTGTTGTTGGAGGGCGACTGCCTCCAACTGCTCAATAGCGTCCTTCACGAGCCTCCTCCACAGAGGCCGATCTTGACACCGCTGGTACCAGTCATCGGCAAGTCCACTCAGCTCCACGTCCTCCTGTACCACATCACTCCATCTCTTCTCTAGCCCGTGCCGCGCCCGTTTAGCCCCCTCGATCCGGCCGAACAAAATCTGTTTCGGCATGCGGTGGCTGGGCATGCGGGCTACATGACCCAGCCAACACAGCCTTGCCTGCCGGAGGAGCTCACCGATGGGACCTTGCCCAGATCTTTCAAGGATTTGTGAGCTCCTCACACAATCCAGCCTGGTTAGACTCGCACGCACACACTCACTCGCACGCACACCCTTGCACGCACTCACATGCATGCACACACTCACACGCATGCACACACACAACAACAACAACAACCGCCATTCGCCACTAAGTGGCGGTGACGTCACCACGACGCTTGTGCCAGGCTATGTGCACCGTGAGGCCACGTGAAGTGTCGAACGCCCGCTGGCAGGAGGTCACTGGGCAGACCCAGGTGCCACGGGGCGACTGACTGAGATGACTGGCTGATGCACCACCTGTGCCCCCTACTGTGCCAACCCGCTGTGCTTTAGCCACCCGGTGCTCCGCTCGTTGTTCTGAGCGTCGCTCCTCCGCCCTCCGCTGTTGTTGGAGGGCGACTGCCTCCAACTGCCCAGTAGCATCCTTCACGAGCCTCCTCCACAGAGGCCGATCTTGACACCGCTGGTACCAGTCATTGGCAAGTCCACTCAGCTCCACGTCCTCCTGTACCACATCACTCCATCTCTTCTCTAGCCCGTGCCGCGCCCGCTTAGCCCCCTCAATCCGGCCAAACAAAAGCTGTTTCGGCATGCGGTGGCTGGGCATGCGGGCTACATGACCCAGCCATCGCAGCCTTGCCTGCCGGAGGAGCTCACCGATGGGACCCTGCCCAGATCTTTCAAGGATTTGTGAGCTCCTCACACAATCCAGTCTGGTTAAACCCAGGATGGATCGTAGGCAGGCCAGCCTAAATGTTTATAACCGGCGAAGATGTTCCATTAGGGGGGTCCACGTTTCGCAAGCGTAGAGAAGGGAGGGAATGACCGTGGCCGAGAAGACCTGAAGCTTAGTGTGGAGCGACAGACCAGGTAGCTTCCACACAGCGTTACGCAACCGATGAAAAGATATTGCCGCTCGACTGATTCGGAGTGAGACCTCTGCTGTTAAACTGGAGCCAGTCATAAGCACACTGCCCAGGTATGGGAAACTCTCCACTCTCTCCACAACTGCCCCATCACCGATTGGGAGTTGTGGGGGTGGAGTGTCCGATGGTACAAAATACCCAGGCAGGTGCTTAGTTTTGGTGGGGCTGATGGTAAGGCCCCACCTCTTAGTGGCACACACGCGCACACACTCACTCGCACGCACACACTTGCACGCGCACACTCGCGCACGCTCGCCTTCCTCATGCTGCACCTGCAGAAGTGAGGCACACGCGAATGTTCACTCATTCGCACGCACATGCATGCACACACTTGCACACGTTCATTCACTCGCTCACTCGCACGTCTCCACTTGCACACACGCGCTCACTCGCACGCACACACTCCACTCGCACTCACACGCTCACTCGCACGTCTCCACTTGCACACGCTCGCTCACAGGCGCTCACTCGCACACGCTCACACGCACGTCTCCACTTGCACACGCTCGCTGATACGCACTCGCTCGCTCACTCGCACGCAAAGAATCCCCCATAGAGCCCACACAGGCTGTACTCGCACAATCGTACACACACGCTCGCACCAACACGCTGGTACCCACACACTCGAATGCATATACACATTCATGAGCACAAACTCGCAAACGCACGCGCACACGCTTATATGTTGCACTACGCTTGCTTTCGCACCACGTTTAATAATTCCTCTCTCCCCTGCCCTCGCCTGCCCCCTCCGCGCTGCTGCCCGTTCTCTGGCCAGGGTGGCCCAGAGCTCCGACTGCAAGATGGACGCGTACAACCTTGCGCGTGTGTTTGGGCCCACCCTGGTGGGCCACGCGACGGCCGACCCCTCGCCCATGGTCATGCTGCAAGACACGCGGCGCCAGCCAGCGGTGCGGCACGCACACGGGGTTCAGTGTGTGTGAGTGTGCGTGAGTGTGCGTGAGTGTGTGTGAGTGTGAGAGAGTGTGAGAGAGCGCAAGTGTGTGTGAGAGCGAGAGACCGACCGTGTGTGTGTGTGCGAGAATAAGTGTGTGTGTGTGCGAGAGTACGAGTGTGTGTGTGTGTGAGAGTACGAGTGTGCGTGTGTGAGAGTACGAGTGTGCGTGTGTGAGTACGAGTGTGTGCGTGCGAGAGAGTGCATAGGTGCTTGCTAACAGCACTTGCCCCAACAGAGATTGAGTGTGTGTGTTGGGAGTGGTAGTGCAGTTGGCACGCTACGCCACAAACCCGATGGCACGGGTCTCATTCCCGCTCACGGCCAACAACAGTGACGATTAACTGAACAGGTCCTGGGCCTCCGCTAGGTCAACTCGGCCTCAAATGAGTATCTGATGTGGTGTGTAAACATCGCCACGGCGGAGACAAAGGCGGCCGGGCGTGGTGTTGGCCACCCACCACCTCGTGTGCCGAGCCGGCCTTCATAGGTGCTCGCTGACAGCACTTGCCCCTACAGTCTGTTACAGGCTATACGAAGGATCTTTGCCTCTCTCCGAGAGCGTTACCAGTTGCAGTCATCGCCTGTGTATGTTGACTAAGAGAATACAGCGATGGGGCGGGAAGGATGTCCCCTCGTCAATCTTGATGCGGGATCTGAGTTGGACTCCCGTCCGTGTGCCTCGCCGACGTGCGCAGGTGATCGAGCGGCTGCTGTCTCTGTCTCCCGACTACTGGAGCAAGTTCGTGTCGGCCGGCGACAGCAGGAGGCCCGACGACGCTTACGGCACTCCCGACCAGCGCACGCCCATCGGTGAGCGGCAATCCGCTCTGCACCCGCCGCGCGTTGAGCACGCTCGGCCTTCGAGGCGTCCTTGAAGCGCAAGGGGATCGTCGTGTGGATGGCGGTAGTTTTGCGGTCGGAGGCGGCCGATGCTGCTGTGTGTAATCCCGACCGAGCAATTAGCGGTGTAATTATTGCCATTCATGTTTTCGAATTCGGATAAATGTTTTGGACCGTGACACCGGCACGCACTGGCCCACTCTTGTTTTGAATGACGTCACGGGATCTTTCGCCTCCACTGTGCACAAACAGCAGACTGTGCGTGTGTAGTAGTAGTATTTTTAAGGTAATTATAGCCAGAGTAATAGCCGGCCTGCTGGATTGTGCCCACGAACCTGTGCGACAAGCGGCGAACGCGCTACTGCTGTGCAATGTAACCATTCGGTACCGCTGTTGAGTCGCCGTTAACCCCTTCACGGCAATATTTATTGCTCGTCTGTGTGTCACCAATGCAGCCGGCAAAATATTTATTTGAATGTATTAATGTGGTAATAATTTTAAGGAATGAATGTGGGCTTGACCCTGCATCCTTTGTCGCAACATTGTTTACAATATCTCATGTTGCCACTAGATGGCGGCAGCGGAAAGATCCTCTTGTCTTGCCTGTGTGTTGGCTCGCAAACAACCTCCGATTAGGACGGTTGGCTTACGTGCAAGTGCGAAAGAAGTCTAACGTACGCACAACCAACATACGATCTCCTCGCGTGCAAACACCGGGAACCCGACCGCAGGAGGGCAATCCGCCCGGATTCGGAGAAGAGACGGTCCAACCCGGCCCGTGACAATTTTAACGTCGTAGCAATTTTAGACGTGGGCGGCGTGGTGGGGAGGAACGCGCGCTGGTCCCCGCTAACAGCCCCCGGTGGGGCGCGTGGCGCCGCCGCCGCCGCTGGCGCTTGTCTGCGCGGTGCAGGCTCGAGCATGCTGGGCCCGCTGACCACGCCGGAGATGGCGCACGGCCCCACCCCAAGCAAGACGCCGTCGACGAGCTCGCTGTCGCAGCGCTTCAGGTCGACGCTCACCCCCAAGTGAGCGAAGCCGCCGCCGCCGCCGCGCTCTCCCGCGCCCGCGGTGTCCGTCGCGCGGCTGTCAAGCACGCATCGTGGATTTATTTTTTATTTTTTTTGCTGCGCAAACTGTCGAATCGTAAAAGCGGAGGATGGCATTGCCACCCCTGTTACGATGACGCCGCCAATCGGCAATTCCGTTACCCGACTGAGCTTTTGCCCTCTGCCATCTCCGCCCCCCCGCCCCCGTGAACCCACGACAGGTTCGGCAGCCGTGCCAAGACCCCGTCGGTGACGTCACTTAAGAAGACGGGGAATTACTTCGAGTCGCCGTTGCTCAAGTGAGCCGTTTCGTGCTTCCAACCGACACGACCGCTGCTTTCACGACCCCCGTAACCCAACCCTCTCCCCCACCGTCCAATCCACCACCACGGATTTTCACGCTCGCCGCGGCCCGCCAGATTCCGCGGTATCGCTGGGTGATTGAAGGTGGGCCTGCGAGGCCTGCAACAGGGCGAGTTCGTGCCGAGTCCTGGCCATGTGCCCTGGGGCGTCGCCCACGGCACGGCCCGCACGGACGCCGTAGCCGGCACGCCTGCAAGCAGCCAATGGGGTTTGGGAAGGAAAAAAAAAATGGGTGGTGGATTTGACACGGGGCGGAGGAGGGAGGGGGTCGTGGGGGGGGGACTTAATTGGAGCGTAGTCTGGTTCCGGAACAAGATTCCGCTCCGGCACACACTCCAGGAGATACCTTAAAAGCAGCCACCGCCGCTTGGTGCTTGCGCTCATGTAGCCGATGGCTTGTTGTAACGTTTTTCCCGTAAGTTGTCTCCGTCGGGGTGACGGCGTCCCGGTTAGACACCGGAGCGGTTGACTGAGCTTTTCAGATTCGTAATTTTAGTTTTAAGTCTACGTGCATATTTAATTACAATTTTGGGCGGGGGGAGGCGGGGGGGGGGAGCTAGAATCGGCCGCTGCTCCTTGACGTCCAGTTCCTGTGGGGGATGGGTGAGCGACGCTCCAGGGTGCCAGGGTTTTCCCCCCCCCCCCCCGCCCCACATCGCCGGTGGTGACTCCGGCTCGCGTTTCACGCTGTCTGGGCGAACCGTTATGAAACGAGAGAAGGTGAAACGCAACTCTTCCAGCGGGCCGGGCTGACGGCATCACGCCTCCTGACGTGAGCGACGTGACGTGCCCGCCCCGCGCCCACCGCACACTCTGCCATCATTTGAATGAAGCACTGGGACTCGCCGAGAAAACCCTGGGGTTGGGAGTTTTCACCGGAACCGGAGCAGCGAGGTCGTGTCGCCGCCGCCGCGGGAACAATGACAACGGCAACAACAAGTCCCAGCGCAAGCGAGCGTGGAGCGTCGTGCGTCTACTCGTCGATGATGCCCCCCCCCAGTCAGTCCACCAGCGGTGCACCCGGGGGTCATGGCGAGTTTAAAGCGGGGGGGGGGAGGGTGTGGTGCGGGGGGAAGGTGACGTGACCTCATGTTGACCAGAGGTAACTTGCGCGGGTGCGTGTGTGACATCCATGTGTATTGGTGGACACGTGTCCATGCATACGTCACACACCAAGTTTGACCGTGACCCCCGTGTATATGTCTGCGTCATACCTGTGCGTCACACCATGTCTGATCGTGACCCCCCCCCCCCCCCCCGCCGTGTGCGTGTGTCCGCACGCGTATCTGTGCTCGACACTCGAGTGTTAGCGATTGTGTGTGTGTGTGTATATGCCCGTGGCTGTGGGGAGCGATAGTGTGTAGCGTTTAGCACGCTGCGCTACGAACCCGGCGACCCGAGTTCGATTGCCGGCCAACATCAGTGACGGTTATCTGAACCAGTCGTGGGCCTCCCCTAGGTCGCCGCGGCCTCAAATTAGTACCTGGTGTGGTGTGGTGTAAACATCGCCACTTGAAAGACAAGGGGCGTGGTGATGGCGACCCACCGTGCCGTATCGGCCTTAATTGCTCGCTAATGGCACATGCCCTAACAGTGTGTTAAGACTATACTTGGGATCTTTGTGGCCGTGATAAGGAGCGGTGGGTGCAAACGCGCCGTTTACGACGCCCTCTGCTCTGGGTGGGTAAATGGATAACGTAGCGTGCGGGCACAGATAACCGCTCGGGGGTTTTTAGTGCACGCGTCGGCTATTTGTGGTCAGCCTTAGGTCGCCTCGCTGCCACTGGAATCGACTCGGGAACTTTTCGCCTCTTGAACCTCCCCTGGCAACAACTCCCACGCCGTCCCGTCGGGGAAATCATGGCGCCGACGCAAGCAAACGGGACGAGTGGTCGAAACCCGTTCCTTGCCAAGGGCCGAAGAGCCTTTTTACCAATAGTCGCGGTGGGCACGCCGGCACTCAACTTTGAGCGGGCACGTCGGCAAACGGGTGACCAAGCGCGGCGCTGTCATTGGACACGCACGCCGGCGTTCTTGCCGGGTCGGCATTATCCAGAACCCGACGTGGCAGGGAGGCGAGCACGGAGGGGCAGCGGTCCGAGGCGCCACGCTGGGATGGGAAATCCAGAGGTCGTCGGTTCGACACGCTCTCTCCCGGCGCTGGCTGTTGTAACAGTGTGGGGGGGGCGAGTTTCTTGAGTCCCATTCAACCGCCCCCCCCCCCCCCGGCCCCACTCATCTCTCCATCAGTGCCTCACTGTGCGTCTGTCCCACCCAGCACCGGTAGCGAGCCGATGATGGGCAGGTCGCTTGATGGAGGTGGGGTAACGTGCGGGCCAACATTGGGAATACCACGATTCAATGGCTGGAGGTTACTTGGTTTTTGAGGTTGAAGGGTGACGACTGTTGATTGCTCATAAGTTGGTACTATTTTAACGGCCCTGGTGGGGGGGGGGGGGGGGGTGATGATGGGTCCAAGTCAAATACGCGACCGTTGGATGGGAACTTTCACGGATTTTGGATTGTTGCGCTTTGACCGCGGAATGTTAACCCCAATTTGACGCGCAAGTTTTAGCACAGTTTTGACTTCATTATTTCGCAGTTCTGTTTTGTTTTAGTGACTGCGCATAATAATCACAATTGCTCGCTATGTCGGCAAAAGCCACGGACGGCCAAAAAAATCTTTAAAAAATACGCTTGCGTGAATTATTTCAAGAACACTAATTGGGGCGAATTTTAATATAATTACAATAATGCAAGTAACACGTACATTTTAATTGCTTGACCTTGTTTTAAGTCATGCATTCGTGGCAACATCAACGGCAGGAGCGTGTCCGCAATGTCAATTGCATCATTGTTTCGCCGCCGTGCGAGAGCCCACTGCTTCCGCGTTCCCTACAGGAGCGACGGTGCGTCGTTGGGATAACCCAACGACGGGCGATGCTTCATGGATTCTCGAATGGTTACAGGCTCGGGCCTACGCTTTGCTATCGGGTGAAAGCTTGAGAGGGTTACGGTGAGGCTCGGCTCGCGTGGTTCCACTGGCACCCCCACTACGAATCTCGCACACCCGAGGTTCGATTCCTGGCCGTGGCTAACGGCGGCGGCGGCAAGCATTACCTGAACCGCTCCTGGGCGTCCCGACGCTCGCACTTTGCAATACCCCGCAACAGCTGACCAACGTGATGAAGTACGGTCGAACGAGTCCTCCGTGACCGAGGCGGCATGCGGAGGGAGACCTTCATCCAGCAGTGGATTTACAAAGGGCTGCCAATTATCACAATTACTTAATGACTCAGGAATGCCACACTGAGTCTGAAGACTGCTGACAGGGAGGGTACCGCGTTAGGATGTTTGATCAATACCCAGTTACATTGTACGTGCTGGTTTTTTTTTTGTGTGTAGCCATGGCAGGTAACCGCAGAACCCGGAGGAAACGCGCGTAGAGCAGGGGGTGAGAAATGCAAACTCTGCACAGACAAGGCGCCCGAGTCGGGAGTCGAACCCGGGCGCCCTGCTCGCTGCGAGGCGCGGGTTTGCCGTCCCTGCGCCACCCCGCCGCCCAAGTGATAGTACGTGCAGCACACCGCAAGTGTTGTGAGGTGGGGGTGCATCGGGGCGTCGATTTGTACATTGAGTCTTAAGGGCCCCCCTCCAGCCACTGTGGGGGTCACTACATTCACCGTGATGGTGAGATGGGGGTGGGAGGGGAGAGGAACACAAAACCGTTCTCGAATTCTAATCGCGAGAGACTGAATTTTGTGACGCTTGATTGCATCGCCCCCCCAATTTGTGCCTGCGAGGACTGCTCCTTGATATTGTGGTGAGATTCGTGCCCATTAGCTTAGGCGGGCACGAGAGGTGCCTGGCTCGCCTTGTGGAGATTAGTTGCCTTCATCGCGGAGACGTGTGCTGCGCTTGTTATTGTTGCCCGGGCTCCGCCGGGCAGTGTTAAGCGGTGGGCTCGGTAAGCGTTTGCGGGGCCGGGCCAGGCCAGGCTGGCTAGCGGCAGTGACCTGACGCCTCGGGTCTCTCGCTCGCTCTCGTCTGCTTTACCGATTGAGCTTGGAGAGTCGACGGAGTTCCGTCGCCTCGCCTTGAACCCCGCGGAGCCGCCATCAACTCATTCCGCCATCAACTCGTTCCGCCATCAACTCGTTCCGCCATCAACTCGTTCTGCCATCAACTCGTTCCGCCATCAACTCGTTCCGCCATCAACTCGTTCCGCCGTCAACTCATTCCGCCGTCAACTCATTCCGCCGTCAACTCATTCCGCCATCAACTCGTTCCGCCATCAACTCGTTCCGCCATCAACTCGTTCCGCCATCAACTCGTTCCGCCATCAACTCATTCCGCCATCAACTCATTCCGCCATCAACTCATTCCGCCATCAACTCGTTCCGCCATCAACTCGTTCCGCCATCAACTCGTTCCGCCATCAACTCGTTCCGCCATCAGACTACGGTCTGGAACGAGGGGCCGGGGTAGCGTGGGGGAGGAGGTCCTCTGCCCCCCCCCCCCCCCCACAAGTCCCTAGCCCCCCACACTTTGTCTATGCAACCGTTGTTGTTTTTCTCCATTCCTGTGTACTCCGTTCACCATTCCGCTCGCCACTCTTGTATAAAAACTTCAAAAACAATACAGTTTTTCCCCAAACTCTGTGACCTCATTCCTTCCTCGCATTTCCCTTCTCCCCTGGCTCGTCGCAGTTACCTTCGTCGTGATGGCCAGCAACAGCGGGGGGCGGGGGGGGACATCGCAGACGCCCGTGACTCCGGTTTAAGAAGGAGGGGGGGCCCACTGTATGATGCCCGTCCTTCTTTTTTTTTTGAGGGGGGGGGGTTCTTGTTGGCGCAAACTATACAGTAGCAGCTAAGTAACCGTGCAAGTAAATCTCTCTCTGTGGGCACCGTAAATACTCAATAGGTGGGAAACAATACAACATTGAAATGCGAAATTCGATTTCATTGTCATGGCACTGATGGTAATGATCGCCATTCCGCGATGGCGTGTTGTATTGTGAACCATGATTTATCGGGGTGCGCCTTTAGTGATTATCCGTTTTTTCTATACTCCAAATATTTTCTATGTTACTGCCTGCCGAACGTTTCGTGAGAAATATCTACGTAGCGATTGCATTGTTTGTGGAATCCCGAGAGTAAAGCTGCATACAGAAATTAACGGCAATGCCTCCTGATACTTTTCTTTCGGTGTGGT